GGAATCCCTTCTTCCAATTAAAAACACTACCCTTTGGGACATACAGGCCGCTTAGCTGGCACCCTGGCGCGGTTCAGCTCCAGGCGTCTTTTGGCGTCTGTACACACTGGTGTCCTCGGGGCCTGCTGCACTTTGCTCTGGCTGCTGCCTGCCAGCCCTGCTGCTGCTTCTCGGGCAGGGAGGGGCTTGTAGCCTGGCCACAGGGTCTCCAGGACCTGTGGGACCCTTGCCCCGCCCCGGACAAGGATAGTAAGGGGGAGGAAAGAGAGCAAGTTTCTACATGCACTCTGTTTTAAATCTTTTGCCCCCACATCCTATGTGCCATGGAGTGTCTACCTTGTTAGCCAATTAAGGCTAACGTCACCCGCTGGCAGCAGCCCGAGGGTGGCTCTGCCCCTCCTCCCACCACCATGATCTGCAAGAAGGTAGGAGGGGTTGCTACGCATGCTGGGGCACAGTGTCTCTGCCCAGTGGGGCATCACACGAAGATTGTTTACCCTCACCCGGGGGTATGGTACATCCTTCTGTGGCCACCTTGGAGTTTCCTACAACCCTTCCCCCTTCTCTGGGGATACAGGCTCTCACCATCTCAAGGTTCCCTCCCTGACTCCCAGAAGCACAGCCTCTGGTGGGGGACCAGGGTTCCCCTGCTCCCCAGTGATCTGGCCAGACCCCCCTGTTACAGTCTCAGAAAGCATTCCCACCCTGGCCTGGGCTGCTTTGGTGGTTCAGTGGTGCCCTTCTAATCAGCTTCATTCATGCAAGTGGTTGAAAAGACTGTGTAATACATGATGTGATTTGTTGCAGTACCTGAGAAAAGCCATTCAGATGGTCCATATTGTCAATGCTCTGACTCTCTGTAACCTCCCTTGTGGGCAATTCTGTCTTTCACCAATAATCAAGGGATGGAGAAGGAGGTCAGGAAGCAAGGCCTGGCTTCGCTGCCACCCCAATACTTTATAAGCCACATGTCTGATGTCGGAATGTCCTGAGCAGGGTCAACATGCCAGTTAACCTTCAGCAGAATGATGAATAAGCCAGGGAACGACAGAAAGTTTAGGGTGGGAGTGTGGTGCCTTTGTTAAGCATTCCCCCAAATAAGTACTCTTTCAGATGGCCTCTCTGTCTGGTGGCCGGGAGAGTCTTACACCCTAAGTCAGCGCACCTTTTTGTGAGATTTAGAATGGCTGGAGAGCGGGCTTTTCTTTTGAAAAGTGGGAGAAGGATGCTTGTACAAGCGAAGTGGCAGCGGAGACCCCATGATAATAGGAAGGAGCACGTATGGAAGTCGAAGATCTAGAAATGCACAGGAAGCATCCATTTCTACGAAGCACTTGGGCAGCTTCCCATGCACAGGTGCTCCTGCTGGAAGACCACGCCCCTCAGTCACGTGTCAGTTTGAATTCCTTCCTTCCTCTCTCCAGCCACTGGCCTGATGACTCCCACCTTTTCTCATTCCTGTGGGTGCTCCTCAGTGCCATTCCAACTCACACAGACGCGCACCACTGTCCCTCCAGTGTTTACTACCCACCATGTGTGGGTCCTGTGCTAAAGGACGCAGGGGTGAGACACGTGCCTGCCCTGGGTGACCTCAGCCTAGCGGGGGAGGCTGACCAGCAAAGCAGCACCCCTGGGCAGTGTGGGGGGTGCTCAGGGCAGAGGCAGGGCCAAGCTGCACACGTAGAGGAGATTAAGTCCGTGAAGGCAGGGAGGGAGGGAAGGCCTCACAAAGGAGGAACAGACTTGGAGAAGGGCGACCACCCCAACATCTGAAACAATGACTGGAAGGAAGGGTGACATTTTGGGAATAACACTGCTCAGGGAATGCTGAGTATGAGATGCGTGTAGGAACCGCAGCCAGGCAGGGAGAAGGCAGGTTCCCCGTGGGCGCTCGCTGGCGCTCACTGATGTAAAGGCATTTCCTCATATTTGTTGGCCTCTCCCATTGGTCAGTCACACAGCAGAGAACAGAGGCCCTCGGGTAGAGACTGTTTCAATTGCCTGAAGCAGTGATTCTCAGCCTTCCCAGCCCCACCCCCACCCCCCATGACACCTTCTGTACCTCCACTGCTAACCAAAGAATGGGCAAAGTGGTTTGGGGTGGGGTCATCCGGAATTTCTTTTTTAAGATTTTTATTTATTTGAAAGGAAGGGAGGGAGAAAGAGAGAGGGAGAAACAGCAATGTGTGGTTGCTTCCTGTGTGCCCCCCACTGGGAACCTGGCCCACAGCCCAGGCAGGTGCCCTGATTGGGAATCGAACTGGTGACTCTTTGGTTCCCAGGCCCGCACTTAATCCACTGAGCCACACCAGCCAGGGCTCATCAAGAATTTTTAAAAACAGGCCCTGGCTGGCGTGGCTCAGTGGATTGAGCACGGGCTGCGAACCAAAGCATCGCAGGTTCGATTCCCAGCCAGGGCCCATACCCGGGTTGCAGGCCACGGCCCCCAGCAACCGCACATTGATGTTTCTCTCTCTCTCTCTTTCTTCCTCCCTTCCCTCTCTAAAAATAAATAAATCTTTAAAAAAAATTTTTCAAGAATTTTTAAAAGCATCCTTGGTGAAGCTGATATGCATCTGCAGTTGAGGCACACATGTGGAACATGCTGGAAAAACCCAGTCTAGGAAGAAGATGTTCCTGGCAATGCTTCAGGGAGAGGCCCTGCAAATTCCAGAGCAGGGATTTTTTTTATATAGCTCTGTGAGCACTCAAAAAGAGCCTGCAGAAAGTATGCAGCCCACAGGGAAGGCAGTTCTGGCAAGGGTGGCCGTTCTTGGTTTTGCCAGGGGTCACTCAGGTCATCTCAAAATAATAGAAATGTAGACCATAATATCATTTTATTATTCATACCGAGTATTCAAAAGTTCTCTTTTCCCTCTACAGCTACTACAGGGGTGGACAAAAGTAGGTGTGGAGTTGTGAATAGACAAAAGTCTATTATTATATTATCACCATGTTATTTATTTGTGTACATAATGAAGGCCAGCAATTTGAACATTTAGGAGATTGTCCCTAAGGGCACTGTGCCACTGTGACATTCTTTTGAGTTAATCAAGTTACTGTTACAAACATAACCTTTTTCCATACAAACAACTGGGAGCCTCCTTTTGCCCGCCTCCGTACTTAAATAGAGAAGCTTTCTCCATCCCTGGTAGCTGGCCTTGTAAAAAACACACATCGAGTGTTTATCAGCACAGCTGCCACTTTGGCTTCTTGGAAGCCCCAGCCACACACAAGGACTTGCGTGTGTGGCCTGGAGGACCTCCGAGCAAGTCGTGTGCCTTTGGGGAAGCCTGCCCTGCTGAGGGGACAACAGGGAAAGATTTTCAGGCTCTGGGGGTCCTTGGTGGGGGCTTCTCACTGACAAGTCTCAACATCTCCAGCTCCCACCTTAAGAAGAATGACGTCTGTTAGTTAAGTATTGTTATTAATTAATGAATCCAATTGGGGAGGAAAAAAAATGCTGCGTCCTTTGTGCTCTCACCAGAAATACAAAAAAGCACCTTAGACAGACAGTGTGGTCACTGCGTGGGCTGCGGGCATGTGATAAAGCTTGTGGAAATCTGGGCACACTCAATGCCTTCTTGTCAGATAATATGGGAAACTGGGTGCATGTGTCATCTTGGTAACAATTAGCAACTTCCTAAAATACAAGTTTCTGACTCGGTGGCATTTAGATTTGTCTGCTTTCACTTCAAAGCTGCAGAGAGTGCCTGTCCGACTTCTTATTTCACCAGCACACAGGGACTGGGGACACGGCAGGAAAGAGACCAAGTCACTGCCAGGCATTTCTGTGTGACTGACTAGATGGCTCCAGCATTTGCCTGTCTGCTCATGTCCTGCTAGCCTGTCCAGTGAGAGCTTCTCTAATTCTTTTATACTTTTCATTACTAGTGACCCTTTCCTTGACCTCTGATCCAGTGGTTTTCAACTGGGGTTATGAGAATCCTCCATGGAGCTCTAAAATAATGCAAATGTCCAGGTCTTAACTCAGACCTCCACCACCTAAAATTTGGGCTAAGGTTCCATACGCACACATTTTTGAAATACCTGCTGGGGATTACGGAGTGATTTCCTAGGTTAAAAAGTCCTTCCTAACCCATCCATTACTCACCTCTAACTCAGTCAACCTTCACTCCTCACCCCCAGTTGACCCCTACCCAACAAGCCAGTCTCGAATTCTTTAAGAGAGCTGAACACTAACCCAAATGAGAGTTTTTAAATATGATGGAATGTTTAAGTGAAGAAGTGTGTGGTTAACCAAAGAAACTGGTTATTCTTTGAAAAAATAAGCATGGATTCTTTTTCTTTTACAAATTAAGTTTAATTGATAATTCAGCTTCAGAAATAAAAATAACTTCTAAAATGAGAGTATAAACATGTTTATTAAGTGTTTTTCAGAGTTTATCTCCTTCCTTCATTTATTAGCAGATTACTCATCTATTTTCTTGCCCGAATCTACAGATTAATAGATTACTGATCTATTCTCTTGCCCAAATATTATAAAGAAATTTAAATTTTAGGTAGATGAGCTCCCTGTACCCATCCTAAAATGCTGCAAGTCCCCCCAGTGGCCTCAAAGAAAGAACGACTTCCCAATTTTTCCTTAATGTCTACGGCTGGAATATAGCACCTGCGTGAAGTGAAACGGGGAGGCAGATTTCCTCTAAACACCACCCAAAGTGTTCGGCACTCAACATAAGGACTTGGGCATTTCGGGAATTTTCTAACTACCAAATACTTAATAAAATGAAGCAAATTAAATGAAATTTATAAAGGTTGAAGGTTCTAAATGGGCCAGTGTAGTAAAAGTATGAAGTTACCTGACAGTTATGAATGGAACATATCACATTTCCAGCTGTTGGTGGAAATCCATAAAAATCTGAGAAAACAGACTGTGAGTAACAAGCACATTGCTGCTTTTCTAGTAACACTTGAATGGCTGCTTGCAACTGTTTTTGTTTGTTTACAATCCATTTCCTGATCATTAAGGACTCAGATAAAAACAGAATTCCTGCTTTATTCTCCACAAGCTGCCAACAAGACAGAAACAGAGAGGGGAGTCAGTAGCGCATGGCAGCTCAAGCACTGGAGCAAACGGACGTCCGAGAGATCAGACGAGGCTGGGAGCACGTGTGGCGTCCTCTGTAACGGGTTTCAGGTGTGGACGGTGCCAGGCGCAGCGCTCATCGGATCAGCATGCAAGCACAGCAGTGACCACGCGCCCAGTGCTGGCAAAAGCATCTAGTCATTCCTACTACACAAAATGAATCTGTCCAAAATTTGTAACGGCTCTGCAATTAGAGAACTTATCTCTGCTACTGCTAAGAATAAGCCCTTCCCTACTAACTCCTTCTCCAGGTAAGAAAACCAAAGGCATGAAGAAGTTTGGCCTGGTGAGTGATCGATCAGGGTGCTGGTTTCTGACCCATCCCCTGTTAGGAACTATTACTACAAACACCTGTTTATTTCCAGACAGAACATGTACCTACAGTCATTTCTCGAGAACCTATACTAATAAGCAAAGGCACAGAAACCTGAAATCAATACTTAATTCTAAAAATCTCGTTTTACCTAGTGATTCCATCTTCCTCTCTGGCAATCAGACCGACTGCTGTGTTTCCTGAGGTCTCTACTTTAGAGGATGAATAAGGCATCGAAATCCACTAACTGGACTGCAGACTCCTAAACAACGAAGAGTTGACTATAATCTCTATTTAAACTTTTTTAAGTACTAAAGATATTTCCAATAGCCTGGTTCTATTCCCTGGAAGTCCTACCTCACAATATTAAATTCAGCTGAAGAGACAATAGTACCATTTATACTTAAATATTGCTAATCTTTGGATAAGCAAGAAAGTAAAACACTGATATCCTAAATATATTTCCCTGGTGAAAATCACATAAGCATATTAGATACAAGAATATTTTTAAAGATATCAAACATTTATTTACCAATATTTTTTCCTGGTCTTAAATCTTGGGTATTTTGGAATTTCCCATCTTACACTTTGTTCCTGTCCCTAGCTCCTCCTAAGTTTATACTACTCAAGTAATTTGCTTTGTTTATCAAAGAAACAAAAAACGCTGATATTTCATTGCATGTAGCTAACAATTCAGAAATAAAGAATCCTATTTATGAAGCACACTGCGTCCTAAGCCGTAGAAACTGAACTTCAGCGGTGTTACATTGCCGGCCACTACTAAACGGGGAAGCCTTTCCCTTCACTGAACGAGGCTGGTCAGTTTCCACTGCGTGGGCGGGGCCGGGGGCGGGCCGAGCTGGCACGGCGGGCTCACAGGTCACTCTCCCCGTAGAGCGCGGAGGAGAAGGCAGCGTAGTCCAGCGCGCCGGGCACCGAGCCCGGGCCCTTGTAGGCGGGCATGCGGCTCAGGCAGTACTGCGCCTGATCCGGGGGCAGCTCGCGCCGCAGCTCCTCCGCCAGGATGTAGGGCTGCAAGAGACGGGGGTTTGCGGGTCAGTGCGGGGAAGCCTGCAGGGGCCTGGTGCTCCTGCTGCTGCCTCCCCGAGGGGGGGTATCGGGTGTGGAAAGCAGGGTGGGGCTCACAGCCCATCCAGCTTCCTCACCCGGACCCTGGAGCCTCTTCGGAGGGGAGGAGGAGTGAATACGGGGACCCTGCTCACCGGCGGGCGGCGTCTGATGTGTGTGACTTGTGCATTAGAAAGGGGAGCCGTTTCCTGCTGGGCTTACTAAAATACGAGAAACAGGCTGCAATGGAGAAAACCTCTCTCTAAAATAAAAACTGGCATCCAAAAATGGAGTCTTTTAAAAAAATGTCACATGCCCAACAGGAAATAGAGTAATTCTGGTAAAATGGACTGGCTGGTAAGAGTCACAATAAATGAATAGCAAATGTCATGCTGTGATTTATAAAAGGGTTTTGGGGACTTCGATGAGCGATGGCTTATTACCTCCTAGGCCAGGTGGGCTGTCTCCCCTCCATCTCCTCCCCATGAGAAAGGATTCATTTTAAAATAAACATTCCTCTTTTTATGATACTTTACCTTCTCTGATGGTATAAGGGACTAGCACGGCCCTGCTAATGTGTGCTATTACCCATCTCCTTTTTCGTCTCACCCAAAACACTGGGTAAAAGGATCCAATACCTCAAACTGACTTTATAGCTGCTGAGATATTTTTTGTTTGGAGGATGATACAAAACTTCTAGACTTTCAATTAAACTCCTACTTACTTTCTAGACTATATGTAATGAAAAGCTTGCCAGTTTTTTAACTGCTGGACAACTCCAGTGTGTGGGCACAAAGTTAGGGTCATTGATCCTTAAGAGAAGGTCCCTGTTCCCTAACGTCTAAATTGTGTTATTTCTTCTGAGTCTACCAACTCAGAATGCAAAATGGGGTGGAACCAGTAAAATACACACACACAAAAAAAACTATAAAATACACACTTGGTTCCTCCCATAAACTCACTGTGAGGCCCAAACCCAAATTTCGGGATACGTCTGTGTTTTTCTGGTCTGGGCAAACCACCGCTGTTTCCCTGCCACTTTCTGGGTGCAGTGCTGCTGCGGAACAACAGGCACTGGTGTCGAATGGGTTTTACGTGCAAAGCTGTTTCTGTGCTCATTATGAGAATGCAGTGGGCTGGTGCAAGTGCAGAGGAAAGAAAACCTGTCCATGCAGACCTTATCAGATGCCAGGATGCGGAAGGAGGCGATGACCTGCTCAGCTGTGTCGGTGTCGGCTGTCTCTCTGGTCATGAAGTCGATGAAGGACTGGAAGGTGACAGTGCCCTGTCCATTGGGATCCACCAGGGTCATGATGCGGGCAAATTCGGCCTCACCCTGTGGCAGGGTTGCAAAGAAACATTTACTTCAAGAGCTCACAATGGACAGAACTATTCTCTGGTTCTTCCCTACTGCCTGCATGTTCCTTAGTGTGTAAGAACGAAAGTATTCCTGCATCCCCTTCAGTCCCTGGAACAATTCCCAGCATGACCCAGGTTCTCCATCCAATGGCTGTAATAGTTGCTCTGGCTGCAAGCCAGAAGCTCCTGAACGTCAGACTTCCTTCCGCCCTGGGACCCATTGTTCTCTAGGCCTGAATAGAAGAAGAGGAATTCAGGGAGGGAGTTGGGCCCTTTCTAGACAACTGAGAAGAGCAACATGCTAAATAAAAGACAGTTCAGAAGATGGCTCTCATGACTGTTATTTTCAAGGTTGGAGAGGCAGCTCATGTTGAAAATACACAATAGTGGGCAACAGAGAGAAGTGAGGTGAGTGGTACCATCACAGCCCACAGGGAAATGTAAGACTGTTAGTGACTTATTACTAAAACCTTTTAACCTTGTAAAATATTAGAGGAAACACCACTTGAAAATCATCAGGATACTATAAGCCACTGAACGTGCACTTTAAATGGGTGAACTGTATAGTATGTGAATTATATCTCAATAAAGCTGTTAAAAATTATCAGGAAAGCTTATGTTCTCTTCCTTCACTAAAAAATATCTGACTGCCCTGGCCAGGTGACTCAGTTGCTTAGAGCATTGTCCTGATATGCCAAGGTTGCAGGTTCAATTCCCCAGTCAGGGCACATATAAGAATCAATCAATGAATGCATCAATAAGTGGAACAACAGATTGATGTTTTTGTACCTCCCTCCTTCCTCCCTCCTTCCTCCCTCCCTCTAAAATCAATTTTTAAAAATCTGATGAATTACTAAATAAAAACATATGTTCTAGCTCTGTGAAGTTACTTTATATAGTAGCAATCAATCTTCAAAAATATTATCCTAGTCAATGACATTGGACCAAACCCAAATGTGCTATTGTCCTTTATGGTGGCCACCTCCTATAAAACACCCAAGTTCAATAAAATATCCAACCTTAGTGAAATTTCCACTTCTGCCTTACCAAATCATAGCCCATGGAAATCAGGCAGGCTCTGAAATCCTCATGATCCATCAGGCCATTCTTCCTCTGCCAACAAATAGAAACAGACAAGCTGAGACTTAGAGGCAAATGAGCAACTGTACTTGATCCAGGGGACAAAACCCAGGGAGACGGGACACCAGGAGTTTTGCCAAGAAACTGTAAAGGTCACCACTGACTTACAGGAAGACTGGAGCCAACACAGAGATGTTACAAAATGAATTCTTAAGAAGAGAGAAGGGAGATAGACAACAGACTGAAAAGAAAAAAGACCACGCATTCAAGAACGCAATGGAAGGACATGCCCAGTGCCATGGAAAATGACCTAGTTAGGAGCTGACTGCTGCTACCCACTGAAGACAGAGCATACCCTACGCCACTCTCAGGCCCTGGGCTGGGATGGAGTGGCCCTTCTGTGTGGCAAACTTGGCCTTAGCCCTGATCCTGTGAAGGTCTACACAGCAGCTCACAGAGAGGCCACATGGACAATGGCCCTCCCAGTGGAGTGAGGACTGGGCAGGATGCACGGTGGCCTAGGTTCTAGTGACACAGGTGTCCACCCAAGCCCTGGGTGTGATGTGGAGCACAGGCTGCACTGAAGACTACTTCGAGGGTTTTGAGAGGACAGTTAAGGTGCTAGCACCAAATAAAAAACTAAAGATAAGAAAACATTTTTATTATTAGCCAAGCCAATTAATAAGGAGAGGTTCTTTTCTGGTATTTTCATAGTCCCAAAAGCTTACATCAGAGGTTCCTTTTTCTGTGAATGTCTGTTCTCTCACCTTGGTGATCAGCCCCGAGTCACCCCCTGCCCCTCTCAGCAGCGGTCTCCAAAGCGATGCTTCCCACTGTGGACACTCCTCCCTCTCCACCGCCTCCCTCGGGCTCTCCTGCCTCCTTTCGTCGGGGTTAATTCCCTGGGACCTGGGCCTTCTCTCTTCTTACTCTCTAGACCTTCTCTTGCCAGAGATGACTGTTAGGTTTCAGCCCTAAAGCCCAGAACGGGATGTCTCACTGCACAGGGTAGCTCCAATTCAGCAAGCACCCTTTTCTTGTGTTCTCAAGGCTCAGAGTGTCCAGGTCATTTTTAATCTTTCCTTTTCCCACAGCAACCTATCACTAAATTGTCAGATTTCTGTGATAACTGATCTGTCTGTTCTCTTCTCTTCACTCCCAGCACTCCTGCCCCTCAGCTGGGAAGTTCACGTTCTTCTTCCCTCACATCTGACCCTCTGCTCACCTTCTCTCCCCTCCCCCAACCCTGCAGCCCCCCTTACCCACCGGGCACATTCTTCTGAAGCCAGCTCCTTTAGACCTACCACACCTCCTCTCTACAGCTCCAGCAACAGGCCTGCAGGCCACAGGGTTGGGCCTCTGCTATTCCTGTCTCTCCTTTTTAATGGGAAGGGGAACTCAAGTGGATTGTGTCCCTGACACCTCTCCCCACGACCTCCAGCAAACTCTGTTGCCCTCCAAGACACGTAATGCTTAACATTTAATTTAAACAAATGTTCCAACTTAGAAGGCTCTGCATCAGCCTCCTTGGACTTTTGTTGCAAAGGACAGTCTCATTCTCTTGGATTCAAATAAAGATGCGTTTTTAATGGGACGTGGCCCAAATGAGCGAGAGCTGTCCAACAAGCCCAGAAGGGTTTGTTCAGGAACAAGACCAATTATTTCCCACCACGGAAACTTGAGTGTCGGTGAATGAAGTCAGGGCAGTACCACAGCAGGTTTCCACACTGAGAAGCCGAAACCAGGCCAATGTCCATCTCCGCATCCACATGTAATTCCTTATTCAGGCCTCGGCCCCCAGTCAGAAGTCTACCGTCTGGGATCTCTAATGGGCCTGCCTTTGGCCAGGCCTGCGCACAAGCATCTTAACCATTTACTGATATTTGTAAATCATTAGCAGGGTCCCAAACAAAGTAATGGTATGTCCTTTTTTTCTATATCCCTAACAAATGGAATGTGGCCTTTATGATAAACAAACTGGGAATTTTCTTATAGATACTTGGTGATAGTCAATATTGAAATCAAAGTACACTTAACATTTTATAAATGACCACCATTTTGTTGGTGCATTTTCCTTAAAACATTTCAAGAGCCCATTTTGTTAATTAAAAAGAAAATTAAGTGTTATGTGTCACAAGAACGGGTTATACTTCTATCATGTACTTTGTCTAAATAGTTACTTGGGAAAACTACCTCAGAGGTTTATATTAAGTGACCTAAATCCAACAACCACATTTTGTAATGGGTAAATGTTCACACAGAGCCTTCACTAGCTTTACTGCCAAGTACAGAGGGATTTACGGAGTCACCTGCACACAGCAGCACACAATCCTGGATGTCTGTCACCTGGGCAACATCAGCGCTTAGCACACTCCACTGTGGTGTCTATTTCCCTTTGGTGTTAATCATCCCCTGTCCCCGTAACCTTCTTGGGGCATTAAGACTTAAATTAATAATGTGGGTATTATCTTAAACATATTTGAATGTCTCTGGGACTGCCTTTCAAAGAACTCAAGGGGGACGTACCCGGTCGAAGTGGTTGAAGGAGGCTCTGAACTCGTTCATCTGCTCTTGGGTGATGCCCTTGGCATCTCTCGTCAGGATCTGCGTCTCCACCTCGTTGATGGTTCTGGCAATGGTCGTCAGCAGCAGCTCCCATCCGACACGAATGTGCTGCCAGGAAAAAGGACCGATCAGCAACAGGGGCCCCCAGCACATCCATCTTGTCCAAAGGGAGATAAGTAGGGCTTACTACAGACTTTCTACACTGTTTTACTCCACTTTTTGTGAGATTCTGCAGTGGGAAACACTCAGAAGCAAGGCCAGGGTTCTAACAGTGACCATTGATACTTTTTAAACAAAATACACAGTGCTCAGTCTCCTTGTCACTAGAAATATCTTTCCATTTCCAAAGTAGCAGGAGGGGCCCTTGGTTATATCGACTGGTGCCCAGGGAGACCAAACTGGGTCAAACTGGTAGACATGTAATTTCTGGTCATCTCTCTGGAGCTGTGCAATGACTTCCTGCTGTGATGGTGTTGCTGATGACGTCATTATGCAGTGCTTGTTGTAGTACACAAGCCTTTTTCCAAGTGGTGATGGAAAGATCCCTACCTTCCACACCTGCAGAACTTAACAGGGTCAAACAAGACAGGTGTGGGAGAAAAACACCCCAAGTGAGACGGTCACAATCAGGAACAGTGGCACAGGCGTGCGTGCTGACTGTACCTCCATGGTGTAGTTTGTGTGCCTGTTGTCGAAGACCAGGGCCTCCTGGATGAGCTGGTGGTCTCCCTCGAGCTTGTCAATGTTGTTCTTATAGTTGATGATGTTGTGCTCGTACTGCTTCAGCTGATTCATCTGGTCCTCCAGGGATGCTGTGATCTGGATGGAGCTCCGGGCAATCTCCTGATGCAAAGCACAGGGGACACATGGGTGAGTGGGAGTCGGCACGCCCACTCTGCTCTGGACACTATGCCAGCAGCAGCCAACGTTGTTTCACTATCTCCGATGAGGTAGGAAAACGGAAAGTGCCACAGAACAGAACTAGCTCTAGTTCTGGTCCATCTAGAAAATGAGAAAAAAAAAATCAACTAGGATCAAGAAAAACAAAGGAAGAGGGGTAAGAAATGGGCCACTCTAGCCTCAGTGCAGAGGAGGCGGCTCCCAGCCACAGGGTCCCTGGATCGGCAGTGCCAGCAGCTACTGTGCCAGCAGCTGCAGCACTGGTCAGGGCAATGGTGCAGCCTCGGGGTGAAAGAATCCATTCCAGCTTCAGAGGTGCTCCTCTCAGAAGAAAGTTAACACTTTATCACCAAAAGGGAGGTTAAGAGAAAAAGAAGGGGGCCACTACACGTCTCCTGGCTGTTCCTGGTGATAAAACGAACCCAGAAAGCAGTGCTACTCAAAGATCCCTTTACCTCACTTAAAGTTCTGAAAATGCAAAGTGTGTGTGACCCTTTACATGCCCCTCCTCCTGAGGGGTAGGGGGGTGGGGTGGCTGACAGCCTAGATCCTGCAGAGGTTAAACCGAGAAAAAGCCCCGTGGTTGTTTTTAATGACGAAGTGAAGGGGTGGCAGCAAGAACAACCTCGTCCCCGTGAGTGTGCCACGCCCTGCGACGCCCATGGGCGCACCAGCTGCAGAAGCCTGGGGACAACCAGAGCTACCGCACGAGAGGCACCACAGCTGCGTCAGCTCTGGGACTGGCTTCCAAGTCAGAGAAAACTCTCTGCAGGCTCCAGCCTACCTCCATCTTGTTCTGGATCCAGGGCCCGATGGCGTTGGCCTGGGCGGCAAACTGGCGCCGCAGGCGCTCGTTGGCGTGCTGGCGGGCCAGCTCCTCCTGCAGGGACTGATCCCGGATGGGCACCAGCTGCTTCACCTGTCAGGGCCAAGGGCAACAGGGGTTAGAGGCCAGCTTTGGTCCAGTGGGGGTGACCAAAGGATGGAGTGATGGTCCAACGGGTGGGGATGACAGGGGGTGAGGCTGGGGGAGGGGGAGGGAAGGGTGCGGGACATAAGGAGAGGAAGAAGTGTGGGAGTCCCAACTCTAGGACTAAAAGAACAGTCCACTCTAGCCTTGAGGGCCACCCAGTGCCACCCAGTGCCTGCTTAAGGCTGGGTGTGTCTGTGATGGGGACTCAGAAATTCCTCTCAGCTGCAGCTCTCACCCCACAAGCCCAGGTCCAGAATACAACACAGGATTTGTGAACTTGAATGAGGGAAAACTGGCATCTTTATTTTCACTCTCTAATGGAAAGTTAGTACTTCCTTGGATTATGAATGTTGGCAGCAAGTCCACAGTAGGATTTGGCAATACTGTGACTTCATTGCAATAGAAATCACAGACGTTCTCCTATAACATTGGTGATCGCCTGCCTCTCGAAACACAGCTGCTTCAGTGCCCTTAGACCTGCCCTTAGATCTTGGTTTTAATGTGTTAGTAGGAAGCCCATATATTACTACATCCCACCTTTAAAACATATTTTAATGACTATAGTTTAATGTAATTTTTTTCTGTTGTAGCCTTTGAATATTTATTCGAATTTACAAATATTATCATCAGGAAGGATCCACAGGCTTCCCCAGACGGTGAAAGGGTCCAAGACAGACCAAGCCAAGGACCCTGGCTCAGTCCTGTGGGATGCTGGTACCAGGAAGGCACTGCGCCCACCTGCCCCTGCGTGTCCACTCACTCATGCCCTGAGATGTGCACTTTAACGCTATCCCCCATTCTCTCTGAATCAATGGACAGAAGAGCTGCTTCAGAAATCTTTTTTGTGTCTCCTGCAAAACTGCTGCTGTAGACATTATTCGACTTCCCTTTCACAGAAGTCCTTGCAGCCAATCCGCTTTATGACTTAGTGAATGGAGAGGAGTTTGTCTCCCTGGAAGAAGTGTGATTTCCCTTTTCTCAAGGCATCTACCTAGCTGGACATGTTCCCTTTTTTCTTGGCTGTCAGAAGACCGGGGCTAACTCCCCACAGTCCCCTTCCCATGCCTGGTTTTCCCTTTTGCATTGTTTGTAACTACACGACTAATGTGTGTGTTTTCACAGCAAGCACTCGCGGCCATGGGACTCACTCCCTAACGACTATGTGAGCCCATAAATGGCTGTGCTGTAACCTTAACCATAAAAACGAATCTTTCTTAAGAAGGGACCACAGGCTCAAATGAGCTCATTTTCATGATCATTGAATTTTTTTTAATCCTCATGGGAGGACATTTTTTTTTTCATTGCTCTTAGAGACATTGGGAGAGATTGAAACATTAATGTGAGAAAGAAGAATCAATTGGTTGCCTCCTGTACATGCCCAGACCAGGGGGATTGGTGCCTGGACTGAGAATCATATACATCTGGACCCAGGGGTCACACGCACCTGAGCCCAGACTGGGGATTGAACCTGCGCCCTAGGAATGTACCCTGAGTGGGAATCAAACCTGCCGCCTTTTGGTTAGGGGACAATGCTCCAACCAACTGAGCCACACCGGCCAGGGCTATCACTGAATTTAAAGGCAGTTTCCCACGATTTAAAAAGCAGCAAGTTAGGAAGAGTACTTTAGTTCCCCATGTACAGTTTTCTAAGCAATTCTTCTGAATTGAAAATTCACACACGTTTGCGACATGTTTATCCCATATTCTAAAAATTCGTTAATGGAACACTACAGGCAAGATGATGCCACCAAATCTTTATCTGGGGATTTAAAAATGGTTTCCCTCATGGTATCAGTATCATAACCTTTACAGATTCTGCCAGCATTTATAAGACTTTCTGGAAGAAAAATCATCTCTCCTTTCCTCACAAACCATGGAAGTTGCTGAATGTAATCTAAGAATTTAAGGTATTTTGTCTGTGAAATTTGGGGTAAATGAAGCAAAATCAGGCAGTCACTCTAACCCCCCCCCCGGGTCTTTATGACTGCCCTTAGCCTTGGCTTCACAAAGGGCCCAGCCCCATGCCCAGCCCCTGCTTGCTACCTACCTTCTCCCACTTGGTCCGGAGCTCGTCCATGGTGACAGTGCTGTAGGGGTTGCTGGAGCTGACCCGGATGTTGTAGCTCTGAATCACCTTCTCCACCTCGTTCTGGATGGCCATGATGGACTGCCGCTCACCATCGGCCTCCGGCAGCGTGGCCTTAAACTGCTCGTGGGCAGTGATCAAGCTCTAACCAGAGACACGAGAGGGGAAACGGATCTCACTTATGTGAACCTCACAGCCTTCCACATTCCCATCTGCATGTGTATAAAAACCTCTGTAACTATACAAACCTCTGGAGAAAACTGAGTGCTGCATGTTTTGCAAAAGCTATTTTGTGCACAAAAGTCAAGTTCCTTGAAATGGAACAAAAGGTATCAGGATGACTATTTAATTGGTGGTTATAAATACAAAGTCTTCAAAAAACAACACTTTCTTTTTTTTTAAAGTCTTATTCGCTTTCATTATTTTCAATCCTCAGCTATTGTTTAAGCCATACTCTCCTCTGAGGAGCAGAACTTAACTTTGCTGCCCTTTCTAATGACAGTTTTGCCTTTAAAGTCCAACAAAATAACCCAGCATTTAACTGCCTTTATGTCTAGAGACCACTAGGAAGTATATCCCTTACTCCTCAAAAAAAAAAAATAGCTGCAGAAACCAAGAGAAACCAAGTCATTCCCTTAAGGCTTCGTAAAACCGCCATCTACCCAACGGGCCATTTGGCCCTGACCTGTGAGACAGCAGCCCCTCGGTTCAGCTGGCACGTGGATGGCACATGGACCACCTTCTAGTGCAAAGTAACATTCACTTCAGGCGCTGCCATGGCCCAGCTGCCAGCACCTTGCACTGAACAAAGAAACAACTTCAGGCACTGAGTACGGCTCCCTGGGCATCTTAGAAGCCTCAGTCACTCCAAACACAAATGAGTTTAGGTGGCTAATCTCTGACAGAGTGCATGCAAGACACACCATCACAGCCTCCTCCACAAGACAAAAGCAATGTTCAGTAAAGTAATTTCTTCCCCCTTCACCCTTCTAGAAGGCCTCTTGCTAAGGAAAATGGGCTTGAATCCCAGTCTTCAGTATCTCCTTTGTATTTGGATCCTTTTGATGACCTATCTATTTTACAGAACAAAGAATTTAAAAGTACTTAATTTTTCTATTGTATTACACATCCAATTCACTGTCCAAGGGTCTTTAAATATATTGGATCCTGGCTATTGGAGAGTAACTCTGCCCCCTAACATGGCCACTTAGCAGCCTTATTTACAACCTCTGGTCCAGCAGGAATAAGAAGAATATTTGTATTGTGGGAGACAGAAGGTGCTGATCTGTGGTTGCTGATGGTTTACCAACCGGCAAAAGTCAGTAGACTTCAATAAGCAGCTATGTGCCCACATTCTGCACCATAGTTAAACTCAGTAGCCAGGAAACCCACAACTCTCCATGAGAGATTCCAAGAGCATTCGTGTCTATTTTCTTCAATGATCCCACATTTTTGCTAAAGAACAGATCCTTTTAGATAATATTCACCATCATCTGACTGATGTTCTTTCGGTTAATTTGGCAGCAAAAGGGTGGAACACACATTTTAAAGCTAAAGCTCGAAGGGTAACGTGGGCTTTCCAATCACGTTTCTCTCAGTAGAAAAACGAAACGAGCTGAGGAGGGTCAGACAGCGAGGACAGGGCCCACCTGGATCTCCTCAATGCTGTGCACGATGAACATGTCCTGCAGGTCCTCCATGGCGCCTTCCATCCAGTTGTTGAAAGGAGCGGCTCTCTTGGCAAACTCCAGGTGGAGCTGGTCGATGGTTTCCAGCAATTTCTCAGTTCTCTGAAGATTAAACAGAAGCAAGCGTCATCAGAGGTAAAAGAATAAAAATGATCTGAAAATGTAGATGCGCTCCAGAACAATGTGCCATCACCTGACACGTGGTCGCGCACGATGCTCTCATCATTACCGAGTTTACACACAAGACCGGCCCCTGTTCTGACAGGCAGGCTGTGCCCTGCTGGTCTCCGAAGGGTCTTCTCAACCAAAGAAGGATCTCATAACCTCTGAAGTAGCCTGGTTTTGAAAGTACTTAGAGGGCTCTGTTAAGCAGCAGCTGGGAATGAGCAGCCACAGGGGAAATAAAGCCAGGGCCCTCGCCTTTCCAGTCTAACCAAGAACTTAACACAGGAGGCTGGAAGCGAAAGGAAGTCAGGTCTCAGCAATTGGCTCAGGAGTGCTGAGCTCAGTCTGATGACACTGCCAGGTGTCCTGAACATGACAAGCAAAACAGCACAGGAGAGGGGAGAGTCCTTGAGATGGCGCTGAGAAAAAGGGCTTCTGTAATGATCTTACTAAGATTGCTGGGTGTCCTGAACATCACAGTAAGAATCATACAGGGAGGGGGTGGGTAGTCCTTGAGATCTTACGCTGGGAAAGGGAGCTTCTGTAACAATTTCACTAAGACAAAGAGCCTTTACTAACTGAGAGAAAAAGCCTTTGTAGCTGTACATTATTCCCAAGGGGGAAGGAGGGGGCACCTAGAAGCCAGCTGAGGTACATAACTACTGAACCCCAATAGTCAGGGCACTTACATTAGCTGACAACCCACTTGCAACCTCGGCTCAAGTGTATACAACAAACTCACTATCCTACCAACAAACTTACGGTCTTTCCTCCACACATGGGGCATTCAGACTAGCTGGGTGCCTGCTCGCAGCTTTGTGCTCGTGTGTGTTTCCCAAATAAACTTGCTGTTTCATTTTCACTCTACATGTTTGTCTCTCGCTTGAACTCACCTCATGTGGCGAGACGAGAACCCAGGTGGGGAAGGGAGGCCCCCTGACTCGGGTCTCCCTCCCCATGTGTAGCAGAGCCCCCACACGTCCCCTCTCTGAAAACTGAGAAGCCACAGAGGGCACGTAGTAACCTGGTTTCTAAGTTAGAGGAGGTGACTCCCTAACCGTGCTGGGTAACAGATGAGTCAGGGCAGCTTCCTCGTTTTTGTCAACACTATGCAGAGAAGATGCCTTTCTCAAAAGCCACTCACCTAGTGGAGACTGGAGGAACTACAGCTTAATGTTCTCTAGTCCTCCTTCAGCATTTAACACAGACTCCTCGGTTGCCTTTCCGGCACACGAAAGCACGAGGCTTCCGGCCAGAGCGTGGCACCACCTGTGTCGTGCGGCGGAGAGGACGGTGAGCAGACCACAAGGAAAGCACCCGGTATCTACACGTCTTCCATAATCACATTCATTTCCCTCCTGTTCCAAAATATACGAGCTGTGTCTGCTACACGCCTGGTCCTTCCGCTCCCTCAACACTTCTTTCTCTAGGGGGACATGTAGCAGCCATTGGCATCTAGGATTGCATCTGATATCATGTATTTTACAACTTTCCCGGAGTTAGGGTGAAAAGTCTCAGAAAACTGGTAACTGCTTCTTTCCTCCACATCATCTGAGTCTTCATGGTGAAAGATAAGTAGATATGGTCATCTCCTCTTTACCTGCGGTTTCACTTTCCACGGTTTCAGCTACCCACAGTCAAGCACTGTCTGAAAATATGGCATTTCCCCAACCAAGGACGCCCTCTGCTCCGACACCCAACTATCAGCATCGACATGGTTCGATGACCCAGGATCCACAGAAGCAGATGACCTTCCTTCAGAGGTATTTCCAGAAGGTCAGCCACAGCCTACGTCACCCGGTGCCCCTCACCTCATCACACGGGCACTGTGTCATCTCACACTAGCACAAGACGGTGAGGACAGGATAATAAGATATTTTGAGAGAGAGAAACCATGTTCACATAACTTTTATTATAGTATATATTTTTAAATTGTTCTGCTTTATTATTGTTGTTGTTACTCTGTTACTGGGCCTAATTTATAAATTACACTTTATCGTAGGTATGTTTCGGTAGGAAAAAACATATATATATATAGGGTGCAGTATTGTGCGCATATATATATATATATATATATATATATATATATATATATATACGGTTTCATGCCTCCCCTGGGGGTCTTGGTCTTTCCCCTGAGGATAAGGGGGAGCTGCAGTACAGTTAAACACCAGCTGCTTCCTGCTGTCTATCCTTGTCTTAAACTTGAGTAAAGCCAATTCATCCTGACTCTTTTCCTTTTATTTTTCTTACGTCAACATTTGTTGCCATTTCCCTTTGCATGTGTCGAGTTAAGGTCTTCCTGATCTTGACTCAGTCACAGTTCAGTGTACTCTTACACAAGGATTTTTGGAAAGTCACTGTAATGACTACTGGATACAAAATCGGTTATACCATATCTCGTGACCTCTGGATTTTTTAATTCACAAGTACGGTGCACTGCTGTACGGATAAATTATAGTACAAACTTTCCAACTTCCTGTTTGCCTCTTTTTCCTACTTTTCATACTCTCTTTAGAGGCTCCTTTCACTGGATAATCTGGTTTGTTTTATACATGTACTGCCACAGAAAAACAAGAAATTAATAACAGGGACTTAATTAAGAAGCCTCTACTTGCTGGTGTGGCTCAGTGGATTGAGCGTGGACCTGTTAACCAAGGGGTCGCTGGTTCAATTCCCCATCAGGGCACATGCCTGAGTTGCAGGCCAGGTCCCCAGTAGGGGATGTCTTAAGAGGCAACCACACATTGATGTTTCTCTCCTTCTCTTTCTCTCTCCCTTCACCTCTCTCTCTTTAAAAAAAAAAAAGCCTCTACTAAAAGGTTTCATGTTGTTTTGGCCAGGTAGCTGAGTTGGTTATGGTATCTTCACGATACACCAAGGTTGCAGGTTTGATCCCCAGTCAGGGCACATACAAGAACTAACCAATGAATGCATGGACAAGTAGAACAACAAACTGATGTTTCCCTCTCTCTCTCAAATCAATACTTTTTTAAAAAAAAGAGGCCACATCATCGGTGGCTCAGAGACCTCACCTCCAGGGCCTCTCTCCTCTTCTGCGTCAGCGTGCCCAGCCTGTCCCACTGGTCACAGATCTTCTGGCAGCGATCGTTGACATTCACGGCGTCATGATAGTCCAGCTCGCTGTCAGAAGTGAAAACAAAGATGGGTTTTCGCAGATGACGTCAGGAAGAATGAACATGGGTCCAAATAAACAGATCACATATGTTTTTTATAAAGGTTCTGAGAGAACTGGCAGGTATTTCACCGTTTCGTTAACCATCACCACTGCAAACACGATCCCTATTCTGACAAATTATGAGAAAAATTAGCAAAACTTTGCTGGTTGAAAGGTTTGTAAACAGAGATCAATGCTGTTTTTTTGATGCCTCAGGCTGATTATTCTCCCTTCAATTTCTTGGCCGTTCCCCTGGAGAGCGTTATTTTAAGTGGCAGGGCACCGGTAAGTGACGCCAATGGTTTGACCTGAGGACAGCCCTGCGGGCCGTGCTGACGCCACAGCAACTGGAATGTCAAAATGAATCAAGGGGTGTAGGTGTCAGCTTGCACCCGTGTGTCCTCGGTGCCTCTCAAGGGCACTGGGCCTCACCCGTCACAGCGAGATGAACACCCTGTCCTGAAGGGGCAGTGGGACTCGGGCACTGGAGGGACGTCTAATGCCCCGCCGGACAGAGCCCTTCCTCTTGTGGACGAAGAGGTTCCGACTGGTCTCAGGCCACCGTGTGACAGCGAGAACGAGATTTCTCACTACGTGATTCCTCGTCCTCACCAGCCCGTCCAGACATCCTAACAGGAGCTTTGCAATGTGAAGGGATGTGAATCCACTGCTCAGGCACTAAAACACTAAATGCTGGAGAGAATTTAAACCCCCTCTGGTTAAGATCAATGTGAGACTCGCAGAGGTTTAAAGGCGTCTTCAGGAGACTCCTCCCGAGCAGCCCAGACAAAGGGCACCTTCCCCTACTACACCCAGTCCCGACGCTTCCCTTTAGCTCTTAACAGACCTTAATTGTTTTTAACAAGACCTTAAATTTGGGCAATGGCTGTTTGTTACTTGTTTTTTCCCCTCTTAAATAACATTAACTTGTCCTTATTGAATGTCCCTGTTCCTGTCACTGGATAAAGGAGACGCATATGGCTGTGATCCTGGAGTTCTTCCAGTGGCTAAGAAGCTCCCTGTCACCGAATTAAAGTTCGTTGGGTTCTTATGAGCAGCTTTCTACACACACATACGTGTCACTGACTGAGAGGAACTGAGATTCTTGTGCTTATTTTTATAACCAAATAACCAGACACACCAGCACTTTGCACAGCCCTGAATGAGAAGTGAAAAGGCCGCAGCTCTCCAGAATGTTGACATGAAAGAGAAGAAAAACTTCAAAACGAAACCCAGGAATCGTACTGTTGAGTAATGGAGGCACCAGTGCTCAGGGCTCGCAGTTATATTCAGGGTGAACATTCCACCCTCTTCTCTTAACTCACGTGTGCTGGTGCCACACACACCTGCTCTCCAGGAGGCAGGGCCTGCACCACGGGGCACACTATTCTACACGCACTCTCAGAACTGCACACACAGTTTGAGTTCTTATTTCAGGAAAGTTAAACGGGACAGGGTCATTAATAAGATGAAAAGGAGCCCAGATTTAAATTCTGTACATGGTTCTTCTCTTCACTATGTGAAGAGATAGGCATTGGATATACCTGGAATCATAAGAATAATTAAAAATTACTACTTAACTTTTATGGGCAATACTTAAGACCATTTTGAATGACTCATGAGAGCTACTGCAGAGCATTGAATGGCTGGAGTCTCTTTCACCCCCCGTTTCATTTGCGAGTGCCAACGGGCAGCCCGACACCCAGCTGCAGGTGGCAGGAGAAGTCAGACTGCAGTGCATCAGACAGAAGTGGTGACCAGCACACTGCGAAGAGGCTGTCTGGGCTAAAAAAAAAACTCTTGAAATAGGCCAGACCTGTTAACTAAGAGGTAAGGAGCATGGGAATTTTAAAGTATAACATAATGAAATAAACGTTTATGTTATCATTATGTGACAAGCTCTAAAACTTTGTAGACCTATCAGTGATTACGAGGAGGGGAAAGGAGCAGGGATGAAATTTTGCGTTTATCGAAAGGGGACAAGGGTCTTTAGAGAAACTTGGAAAAATCGTGGGCAGCCTCTCCCAGAGGGCGGCCCCGGCCACAGGCTGCACCCTGCACAGAACGGCACTGGTGGATGGTGGCGTGGGGCTGCCCTGTCTCCTCCTGCAGAGCTCAGGCATCATCTCTGTTTGTTTCTGGACAGGAGTGTGGTTGCCACCGGCACCCGGGCCTGGTGGGCCCCCTGTCCAAGCTGCGCTCCGGGACCCCTGCTGCGTCTCATGCTCCTGCAGGTGCACTGCCCATTCCAGGGGCCAGGGTGCTGCAGGATGAGTCACACAGGGATCCCCCACCACCAAAGAACTGAAGCCAAAACAGTTCATCCCTTAGAAAAACAGGACGAATCCTACCCCAGAATCCTCCAGCTTCACTCTCCCTAAGTTCCGCACAGAAAAGGAAGGCCAGGCCCGGGAGCCTTCCACTGGCCCACACCTGCAGGTGTCTGCGGCTGCACATACTTGAGCTCCTGAGCGATGGCGGCGATCTGCTCCACGCGGTCCTGGTGTGCGGCCAGGTCGCTCTCAAAGGCCTCGTGCTTCCTCAGCAGGGCCCGCACCTCGGTCAGCGACGCCGACTCGTAGTCTTTCTGCAGCAGGATCTGTTCTTTGCCTGCAAAGTTTGTCACAAGAGTGAGAACACTCTGAAATCACATGGCAGCTTCCTTGAGTCTACACAGTGCTCGGGGATCGTTAACCCGGAGAAGAGGGGCAGGGAGCCAGGCCAAACTCAGGCGGCAGCATCACACCTGGGGTTCAGGCCTCCCTTTGAGGACGATGAAAGCCCATGTCTCCAAATACAGGGGAAGCCAGCAGGCAGCATCCCAATAACACACCTGCCTTGTTCGTGATCCTGGTAGTGAGGATGTGATTCTCCAGGGCGCCCCTCAGTCAGGTTAGTAATTATTAGCTCACAGTCACCTGGACTCGTCGGGCAACACACTTGAACTCTGTCTGCCTACCCTAATTCTTTCTGTTTGAAAGCTTTACTTTCTGTGGTAAATATAGTCTGTAGTTTTTTTCCTAATAAATTAGACAGTTCCTCTCTGAGTGTCTACCTATTTCCCCACAAATATTTCTTAAATCGAGCAATGGCTGGACACACATTCTTCCCCTGGTTGGTGACCTTTAAGAATTTCATTCTTTAAAGCTAGAAACAGAAAGCAAATGATCACATATTTAATAGTGACAGCCTAGCACTAAGCGCCAGAGACTGATTTAAATGCTTTATAAATATGAACTCATTACGTCTTCCTCCAAACTCTGTGTGGTGTAGGTGTGTGTGGGGGAGGTTGGTTTCTGTCACTCCCACTGTGAAGAGGTCACAGAGGCACTGAGAGGTGAGGACTCTCCTCAGAGGCACAGAGATGACAGGTGACAAGGCCAGGGCTCCAGGTTGGGGCCTGTAAGTATCCTGGAGGCAATCCCATCACTCGCACCCTGAGAGGCGCCTGGGACCACAGGATGAGGACACCTCCCGTTCTGCGACAGGACAGGGGGGAGTCTAGCACAGCAGATAGCAGCCTGCAGGCGACGTCAAGACCATGGTCCATGGCTGCGGGAACAGGACTGAGCAGAGCTGAGGGAGGGAGGTGGGTCTGAGTGCCGTGAGGACACTAAGAGGAGACAGCACTACCTGCCTTCTTCCTTTCCAAGCAACTTTCTAAGTAGGAAATTATGCTGCTTTGTGGCATTTAATAAATGTCCTGTTGGCAAAAGCCAAGCTGTCTGACCCACAGTTAGGGAATGAACAGATACTTGTAGAACCAAGTAAAGAAAGATGGGGGGACAGAAGGAGGCAAGTGTGGCAAGAAGGCATTTTGACAGGTACATTATCTGCTTAATTAGAAAAGGAGAGGTTCAGCACAAGAGAGCAGAGTGGAGAGAGGCAGGGACCCCCACCCCGTGCAGGGTCTCCGACATCAGGGCAGAGTGAGTAACTGCACTGTGGCTCTGTCCCCACCCCAAGCCGGGTCGCTCACCGTAAGCCCAGGTCTCGTGCGTGGACGCCTTCTGCCGGAACTTCTCGGCCAGGTGCTCCACGCGCTCCAGCCTCCGGATCTCGTTCAGCAGCCACTCCTCGTAGCCCTTCTCCGCCTGCTCCAGCCTCTGCCAGGCCCCGGCGATGTCCTGTGGGCAAGGACGGCCAGGCCCGGGGTCACACTCGGCCTCTCGGGCATCCCTGTGAACCCCTCCACTGCGTGGTGGACACTGCCATCCTGTTTTCTGTCCCTTTCCTCACCTTCCCCCATGACCATTCAAATGTGCCAGCTTCTAAATGTCTACTTATCACTGGGGCCTTTGAAAACTGGCCTAGTTGTCCTCATGAGTGAACAAATGCCTGAGACTCTCCAGATGTGGCTCTCAGAGGCTAACAGGGCTTTACTTTTCTGGCCACAAGACAAGGACGCCTTCTCACAGCCACTTAGAAACTGACTCAATTCACAACCGCTTTGACTCAGTGACCGGGCTCAGCCGGCCGGTGGCCATCAGCTGTCTCCTAGACATCACACACATGCTGGGCGCAAGCCAGAGACTCGATGTAAGAGGGGCAACACCCAGCAAGTCCCTGTCCTGTGCAGCCTTCACATCGGCTGCGGAGAAAGACAGTGACTAAGCCCATCTGTGTAGGACAGGGATGTTCTGTGACGGAAAAACAACACAGGATCGGGGGAGGCCAAGTGCCCACAGGGGAGCCGTCCTTCAGGCAGGTTACTTAGAGAAGAGCCCTCCCGTTTGGGGAGGTGGCCTCTGAGCCGAAACCTCGTGACAGAAAAGTCAGTTTTGTGCAGAAGTGGGGAGTGAGTGTTCCGGGCCCCAGATGACGGTGGTGGCTGCTGTGAACAGCATGAATTTTACGGACAAAAGAAAAAGAAGAGGCCGTGAGAGAGTTAGTGTGGGGCCCAAGGAGAGAGGCTGGTGGCCTGGCCAGGGGGTGGCAGTGAGTGCAGAGAAGGGGACAGGTTTAAGATGTGATCTGGAAGTGGAGCCACTGGGACTGGGTGAGGGACTGGATGCAAAACAATGACACAAAGAGGGGGTCAGCAGTGACACCAGGGTCTGGGGCTTCAGTTTCTTGGAGGTGCCGTCCACTAACAAGAGAGCACTGCGAGGCATTCTGGGCTGCGTGAGGTCTGAGGTGCTTTTGAGACATCCAGGCAGATCCAGGAACCTGGAATTCAGGAGCATTCTGAGTTGGAGACTAAAATCTGGACGCACAGGTGTCTGGGCGGGAATTAGAGCCACGGGCCTGGGCAGGACCACCCAGGGGCCTGAGGACAGAGGAGACAGCCAGCAGAACCCAGGAACCTCTGTGCACAGGGCAGGCAGAGGAGGCCAAGCTTGGAGCAGTGACAGAAGGACCCATCGGTGAGGAAGAAAACAGTAAGTTCAAGAGCAGAAGGAGTTTCAGGAAGGAGGCGATGGTGAACAGGCTTGCAGCTACAGGGAACAGGAAGTAAAGTGACTGTTGATGGGATTGTCAGCATGGATGCTGTTGACTTGGGTGAGAACAGTCCCAGAGTAGGGGACAGAAGCCAGGTTACTGCAGCGTGAAGAGTAGAAAGAGTTGGGGGGTGGCATTGGTGGAGGGCTGAAAACCAGTCTCTTAAGGACACTTTCTAGACGTTCCGCTGTGAAGGGCAGCTGAGCAATGGGATACTCCACGGGGGCAGGGAGTCACAGAGGCCTTACTTTTTGTTTTGCTGGTTCTACAGGTCCCTGTGTGTCAATGCAAGGGATCCAGCAGAGGAAGGAAGGTGAACAGGGGAGGTGACAGTGCAGAACAGAGGCCACTGGGCCTAGGTGATGGTAGACCGGGTAGGGACACTCCGCCAGGTGTGCAGAGGGAGGAGAGGATGAGGCCATTCATCAGGGTTTATTAAAGGCCCGCTATTGGGGAGGCACCAGTGCAGAGGGCGGTCAGAGCTGCGTGGCGGTGGGGAGGAGACACCAAGAATGAACTGGTTGCAGGGCCGAAGCTCTGCTCCTAAGCTGAGACCCCTCAGCAGCCCCCAGGAAGAGGCCCGGGCTACTCACCGACACCATCTTGCCCTCGGAGGGCATGAAGGCGGGCCGGTTGCTGATCCGCAGCTTGGTCTGCAGCGTGTTGAAGTTGATCTCCAGCTGGCACTTCTCCTGCACCTTCGGGGGCTTGTGCTTGCGGCGGTAGTCCCGGAAGTCCTCCAGCTTCTTCTGCATGGCCTGCATGGTCTTCTCGGGGGTCCTGTTCTCCAGCCAGGGGATCGTGCGGCGGATCCATTCCAAAAGCTGTGCCCAAAACACGTTAAGCGCTGTTAAACACACCAGCAAACTGTCCCCACGTAGAAAAGACCTCACAGTTAGGGATGGATTAACTTAATATTCCTATGGCTGCAGAAGTGCGATGCCCCACTGAAGGGAGAGGAAAGGCACCTCTGAGCGTGGGTGGACAGGTCAGCATCCCACCCACGGCCACCAGCGATTGCCCAGCGACACCACACACCAGTCAAGAACTCAGGGTCAGCACGAGTCATGTTTTACAAATGTGTGACATTTACAGGAAACTCAGGGACCAGACATTAGCAGACAAATGCTGGATGGAGCTTTCAAATGAAAAAAATTAAAAAAATAAATAAAATTAAAAATCACCTGACATGGCGAATGTAGTATAATAAAATCAGGGAAGAAGTGGGTTTAACTTAAGCTCCAACCTAATGAATTTATGTACTAAGCTAATGTATTGTAAGTCTGGGACTGACCCAATGCCACAGTATATTTTGATTTGATATCTAGTGAACACCTGAGGACAAGGTACATTCTCCTGAATTACTACCAAAGTCTTAGAAAAGAACTGCTGAAAAGCTACAGATAATTTCCACCTAAGATCACTTAGAAAATGGCAGCAGACAATAAAAGTTAGTTAAAGTGGCGATGTGTCCACGGCCTGAGGGTCTGCGGAGGAAAGGGCTGGACGTAATCACCGAGGCTCATTGTCCTCCAACCTGGCCGGGCTTTAGTCCCGAGTGAATCACTTGCTTCAGACTGGAGCAACTGAAGTGCGTGTCCTGGTACTCTTCCCAGAACAGACTGCATATCGGCTACGTGCAGTCAGGCCAAAGGCCATCTGGTGTGTGGCCTGTGTGATGGTGACCGAGTTCCATCTAAAGGGGCCCGGACCATGGGCGACAAGGCTGCTGAGTTCCCACTGATGCTAAAACTGGAACGAAAGAGCCCAGGGAGAGTGCTGTCCTCACCGAGCACCTGGCTGCCACGCACCAGGAAGGTCACGTGCGGACACCAGGGTGGAGGGCTCAGCCTCCCTCCTGTTTCCCTCTAGGGATTTATACTGGAGCCTGAGCCACATCCAGCAAGGCTGGGTGCGCTCCTCTGAGCTGGGTCACTGTGGACTAGGCCTCTGACCACGGCGCGCGGCCGCTGTGACGTCAGAACCAGGAAGAAGTCACACAGTGCAGTGTCTTCTAGGGAACCCTCCCCTGGAGGGGCCCAGCAGGAGGTGATGCCACACTCCGCTTCTCAAACATGCAGACTGCCTCTGCGCTCTGGGCTGGTGGAAAAGCCCGTCAGGAGTCCCTCAGTGCTGATAATTATGTGGTTACAGATGAACCGCCTCTGAGTTCCACTGTATTCTCCTACTTTTATTCCATCTGGGATGAAAAATGCAAAGAAAACAATACTGACAACCCGTGTTCACCCTCTCGCCTCACCCTCTGGGTGGGTACGGACAGGACTGAGGGTCACCATTTCCTTTACCTCACTCGCTAGCCTCTCATATTCTTCCATCAGCCTCTCATTCTCTTGATTCACAGCAAGAACCTTACATATCCTGTTAGCCGCTGTCTCGGCCTGTAAAACACAATAGGTAAACACAACAGCTCCGTCGACGGGACATGCACACACAAAACTGAGCGTGGCGGGCGTGAGGGGGATGGATGGGGGGCCGTACATGGCGCAGAGTTGGGTGAGGGAGGATAAGACTGAGGGCATGAATCATTTCACACCTTTTTTACAGTTTTCACACAGACTTACACGGCAGGCTGAATATACTGTAGGGAACAATGGGGAGATAACATTAGTCTGAACACAAGCTTTGTAAAACATCAAGCAAGTTAGTAACAGAAATATATGGGTCGAGGAAACTAAAATCTCAGGTCCCTGAATGTCTGCCCACTGGAGCATGCTACTGACCTCAGGACTACGGGGTGAGAACTCTCTGAAAAACCTCAGCCTTTGAGAATCAAAGCTCAAATGACTGGTCCTGAGCATGCATCAGTGCGTGGAGTTCAGATGGGATCCTTACCCAGAGCTGAACCTGCCTTAACACTTTGTTTAACCTGCATGAGAAGTTGGTGAGGCAATAACTCTCTATCATCCTTCCATGGAGGAAAACCCGGGCCCGGACTGGCAGCGTGCCCTGATCCATGGTCACAGAATGAGTCAGGAAGAACCACGTGCCATCCAGGCTCCCAAGCCTACAGCCCGTCCCAAAACCTCGCCTTCAATGCCCTGTATGGGCTGATGTCCAGTTATCCTCATGTGCTGCTGACAGTCTTAACAGGACAAGAGGAGAAACGCAGCCTTTGCCCCTCCCAATCTACCAGGGTTCTCCAAGGAGAGACATGTGAGGGGGCCAGAGACAGAAACAGATAAATACGGAGAAAAAAACACATTTACCCACAGTGTCCACCCCTCAGGCTGTTTGTCTGAAGGAATGTGAATTTTGGGGGGGTTCTAACACTGTAATATTTCCCTTCTTTCAGTTAAAATGGGCTTCGTCTTGAAAGATGCTAGAAGCCACCCCGGAGCAATGAAGGCAGCTTCTAGGGACTAGGGCCCAGGGAGGCAGTTGCTCGCATTGGGGAAACTCCCCTTAACTCCACCTTTTGTTCCTAAAGCACAATGTTTCCCACAATTTACTAGTAAAATAATATCACAGAAGGAAGGCGGGGTGAAAACGCTTCAGGAAGTGTCTAAAGTTAACGCTGTTTTAAAAAGAGCATTCACAGTTTGGAACTTGCCGTATTAGGTCATCACGAAACACCCAGAAAGATTCCAAGGTAAGATGTGAAGCGCACACACACACACACACACAACCGACGCCCATGCGGAGGGGCAGCGCGGCCCCGACGGACGCGTGGTGGGTACCTGCTCCGCGCCCGCGAAAGCATGGTAGAAACAGGACACGTACGTCATGATGGCCCTTTCGTCCGGTTTGGGGGTGTTCACAATGTCTGAGGGAGGGAAAAACAGCACAGAGAACACACACACACACGGAGAGCAGAAACCCGGGTGAACAAGGGAGGGACAAGTCGGTTTGCACCGCTCGATCTCTGGGTCTCTTGGGCCCACAGTCCCAAACCTCAGACAGATGGCTCGTGAACAGCATGATTCAAACCAGCGCTTCCCCAGTCTTCACCCTGAGGCCTCTTTTCCTCCCTCCCCTGGTGGGCTTTGGAAATGCCATCAAGGCATTACCACTGGAGCCGTGGGGTGGGCTGCGGGTCAGACTCAGAGCTTGTGGCCATTTCCCCCTGGCTCATGGGGCCCACAGCCTCTTGGCCACTTCAGGTCACCTGTGTGTCCCTTTGTGAGATGCTGGGAACAGCAGCCGAGCACCCAGCCCCGTCTCTCTGGCCGCTTTCCCATCACACCCACAGCTGTCCTCACTCTGCTCTGTGACTGGCTGCTGGTGTCAGGATGACACCCCCCCGAGAAGCATGGCAGGTGAGGCCTCTGCACATACTTACCTCACCATTTACAGAGGTCACCCAGGGTGACCAAACGTTGCGAGAGAAGGGTGTGCATGGCTTGTGCACGCTACAACCCTGGCTACCATCTGTGTTAGCTGCTGAATTAGCCAACAGGAAGACAGAAACAGAACCACATGACACATGCCCTTCCTCCTCTGACCTGTCAAAGCCATTTTCGCTGAATTGCTTTTTCACTTTACACAGAACTCAGTCACGGGACAGGATGAAGTTAAAAAGAACACACTGTGTAATTCCCTAAAGTGAAACCCAGTTTCCCAGAGGATATTAATAGAAAGGACACAGGTTTGTGTAACAGTATGGAATCTTCTGGAAGACAAACGTGAACGGCATACTAGTACACAGACAGAAAGTAAGTTTCAAAGAAAACTAGTCTTAAAAAAAAACATACAACTGCCTCCTCAGAACTAGACAGGTCTCCTTACTCACAGGAGAGGGGGAAAAGAGAAGAAACGATTGAAAGGAAATGAAGACCCACAAGGTGAAGGTGAGCGGCGACTCGTGTTTGACGTCCTCACCCCTGTACACCACGAGAGCATGACAATGACAGGAGACGTGAGTTGCTACGGCTCACCCAGCAGGTCTGTCCGGGTTTACTGAGTCTGTGTGAAGGAAACAAGGCCACCGCGCCAACGTTTGACACCCCTGGGCTCCCCACTGAGCCGCTTCAGAGGAGTCAGAGCAACGAATCTTCCCTGTTGCCCCACACATTTAGGTTGGGAAGACTTCAAACCAAATAAGTCACACCTGCCTCGTCACTCCTCCGTGTACTTCTGAGAACTGACAAGAGGCATCAAGGAATTGACAGTCCCAGAGACATCTGTCACTGGGCATGCAGCAGCCCGGGGGCAGCCAAGACCCTCCGCAAGTGCATGCGGGACAGGTCCACCTGCACGTCTGAACCTTGTGCCCACCTCAAAAAAGGGCTGTGGAGGAAAACAGGGAAGCAACGTTCATAAGCTTCTAAAATGTGAGGACAGGATGAGGAAGCATTTCTCCAGTTTTTACCTCAGGTTACAGTTCCAATTAACCACCAGAAAATTCCCACCAGGTGTTCAGGTCAACAGCAGCAGGTGGGGCCAGTGATCTGAGGAGGGGACCAGGGCACAACAGGACAATGAAAGGTGGCAGGAATAAGACAAGTCAGCGTGATGCTGTGCCGACGTCAGTGCGCGTGTTGGCCAAAGGTATGAAGGCTGATGTGGGGGTGTCTGCTGGGTGGGCAGGTACATCCCAACATCCCCACACCCTGATTGGTAAGAAGATCCTTATGAGAAATTACTCTACAAAGGAATTAGCATAGTTTGCAAGACTTTCTCGAAACCATTCCAAAGGAAGGATGAAGAAAAGCAGTGGAAGAAGATTGGGGTGTCTCACAAGGAGGAGGGAACATCCCACTGAGAGCAAAGGATAAACAGAGTAGACATGTACCCCAACCAGGGCTCGGGGACCAGGGGGAAACCAAAGCACCGAGCATGACAGGGATCCTGGCTCCCCCGACGGCAGTGTGTCAGGGAGGCGTGGGTGAACTGCGAGATGCATGCTCTCAGGACGCCAGCTTTGTCCTCACTTTGGTATCTTAGCCATTAACTGGAGTGAGTTAACTCTGAGCAGTTGTCTAGTATATGGCAAGGTCAAAGGAGAGACCACACAAGCGCAAACTTAGGGAGGACAGATGGAGAAAAATCAACAGGAACTTGTCTCGGCTGCTAGTTCATGGTTTTATTGACTTTCTCCCTCTGAAGAGTCGTGACAAAACTGTAAGTAGAACTCTGAAGGGTGTGCTCAAGTGTTAACACCAATAATACAGGTGTTTGATAGTGGTTAAATCAATAAATAGGTAAAGTTAGAATCCTAATGGAAAGATCAATGTTATGTCCCCCAAAAGTTATGGGGAAGTCCTACCCCCAGTTCCTGTGAACATGACCTGATCTGCGGATGTACAGGTTAAGACGAGGTCGTGCTGGAGCAGGGCAGGCTCTTACTCCATTGTGACGAGTGTCCTTACAAGAAGAGGGAAGGAGACACAGAGACAGGCACAGAAGGAAGATGGCCACGTAGAGATGGAGACCAAGTGAAGCCACTGCCAGCTGGGTGAGGCCTGAGGCTTCACGGAGCTGTAAGAAGCCAGGAAGAATGCTCTCCTGAGGCTTTGGGGAGAGCATGGCCCTGCTAATCCCTCATTTTAGAACTGTAAGAGAATAAATTTCTGTTGTTTTAAGATACCCAATTTGTGGTAATTTGTTAGCAACCATAATGCAATCACCAAAAATGAGGAGGAACTGAAGAAGGACCATTGACTATAATTGAGTTCTTTGCTTTTCCCAACAACACAATTAGTGGAAGCAATGGACCATTCAGGAATAACACTCAGGACAAACACAGTGACAGACGTTCCTGGACCTCAGGATCCCACCTCACACATCTCATTATGCCCTGCAGTCCTGTTCACAGGGTCCTGTTCACAGTAAGTGCTCGATCAGTGTCTGCTGAGTGATGAGTGAATGAGCGAAGTGAATGGATGCTCTCCACATCAGCACTTTAAGGGAAGTGCCGTAGGCACAGCTCACAAATGCATCCGTGTAAAGGCACAAAAGGCACTTGAAACTATTCCCTGCATGAGTGATGCTAAATTGCAACATATTTAGTTCTTTCAAATCTAACTAAACGAAATTTAACTTAGACCAATAAAAGTAAAATGTGAACATATGAGAGGTACGATCTACATTTTCATTCCATATCTTCCAGTTGGAAGGAAGGACTTTTTCTTTGTGAAGTCTTAAGCACTTCGCAAGAAAATTTATTTACTGAAATTATCTCGATGTGGTAAGGAAATGGAGTTTGGTAAAAAATTAAAACATGAACTTTTTCTTTGAAAATCACAAACTAAAGCATCCTGTTTCTTTGTCAAAACTGAACATTTTACCAAATCCTTTCACCATAGTTTTGCTGGTGTGCATATGTGTGTATGTGTGTGTGCGTGTGTGTGTGTGGTGTACAGAATTTTAAAAAATAATTTATGAACAAGCTGCACAGGAAACCCTCTAATACTTCCTGAGGAACCCTAAGTGCTTCAGATGTGGCCTGACTGGGAACTTCTGCCAGCCCCGTGTGTGGCCACCGCGTGCCGCCCAGATTTTATGAGAGTCGGTAACACAGTTCACCTCACCTTCGGCATCCAACATTTTGGGAATATCCAGATGCTTCTCTGCGATTTCCATGGCCAGGTTAATATTGCCTATTGGGTCATCCTGCATGAAAAACAGCATTGTCAGTTTTTTCAAATATACTTTTGAACAAGGCATGTAAACAATGTCTTCTATCTACCTCACTTTGGGGAAGAGAGCTTCCCTTACACACGAAACCATAATGGTATAAGTGATTTTTCTTCTTCTCTCTTCCCAATCACTTCAAACATTTAGAAGAACATCAAAAATGATACAAAAAACACACAATCCATGCACTGTGCAATTCATAAAATGGGAGCAAAGGTTCAAGAGCACAAAGGTTTTGCAGGTGGGAGGAACGTGGTAGGGCCTTTTCTCTGGGCAGGATCTGGAAGGTGATCATGGAGAATCAGTCTGACACCCTGGTTGTAAACGTGAGAGGGGGAAGGGGGAAAGAGAAGGAAACCCGCTGCTGGGTGAGTGCCCGCTCACGATGAATGTCACCGAATGGCTCAACGAGCAAAATCATGCTTCTGCATGTCAGAGATGAGAAGAAATTACAAAGACTTGAAATTGCAAATGAAAACTGTGAAGAAAGTTTCTTACGATTACATTTATCTTACACTGTACAAACTGATTCTATATACAGGGTCCGGCAGAAGTAAGGCTTCCTTGTGTGTGGTTGCTAGGGTAATAATATGGGTGTAATAATTTAGAGGTTTGATTTGAACACTTCACCTAAAATGTCATATGGTGTGTCATTGAGTATGATGTTGTTACAGAATTATGTGCTTATGATTTTGTAATAAAAAGGGGGTGTTATGTGTGCCAGACCCTGTATATAATGCAACAAAATAAATTCAACCAAAGGTGTAGAAGTGAAATACTGAAAAGCTAAAAGACTTTACATTTCTTGTTTTGACCCATTAAAGAGATTGAACACTATGAATCTGGGATAGGGAGGGGGCGTAAGAAAGAGAAATCAAAATGAAAAGCAGTGTTAGTCCAGGAATGGCTGTGATGAATTTTAACATCAAAGCCATTTAAACACGTTAGAAACTGCCATGCTTTACAATAAGAACATTCATTTTAATATGGTTCAACATTTCAAAAGTGCAGGCTTCAAAAACATAGTCACAGCATTCGAGGAAGAAGCCAAAGTAAGCTTCCGGCCTCGCAGAACATCTAGTTATTTCAGGCAAAAATCTACTTTGACCAGACGTTGTTAGACACAACCCAGGAGCATTTCACAGACAGCAGCCACGCCAAACAGGGAGTCCCACCGGCTGCTTCATGCAAATGTTCACAAAGCCACAGCACTGAGCAAAGGTTTCCTTCTTTTTGTTTTTGATATAGAAGAACTTCAGCATTAAAAACAGAGAGGAGTGACTCTGAGACTGTGAAAGTTATCTCACTGAGACTCTAGCTCACAGAGACAGTGTGGCGATGAAGCATTTTCTTGGCTCGCCACCTGACCATGTGACCTTGGGCAGATTACTGAATTCCTCACTTTCTTCATCTGTAAAACTGGGATAATAATAATGCCTAGTTCATATGTACAGTACATTAGATTTTGCTCTACATTGTGAAGATTGAATGAATATATGTGTAATATATATAATACTTATTAATATGCATCAATATCAATGCATATGTGTATAAACACATTACTATGTTATAGACCATACACATTAATACATGCATACATATATGATAAACATGATGCATTTATTTGTAATAGTGTCTTATCTAGAACTATATAAGCATTAGCTGCTACTGTTAATTTTCATTTTTTTAACCATCACAGATGGCCAAATAGCATAGGTTTGTTTACCTTTTGTAATAAAAACTGACCATTACAAACTACTATGAAACTAGGTCTGTCTGTCTAGTACAGTCCCCTCATTTTGCAAATGAAATAAAGATTAATTGATAAAATTTATACACTGTATATATGAAACACTCCAAAAGCTCAGGGATAAAATACACACTTTGAAAAGTTGAGAAACTCTCGTGGCTCTATTCCCTTAGGCCACCTCCTTCCTGCACAGAGCAGTGGCACGAGGCTCAGGCGTGCTGGTGAATGGGCGACAGCTAACACGTGGAGACAGCCAGGGTGCCGCCAGCAACCATGCACGCCACACAGGTGAGGGCAGCATGCACTCCGATGTGAGGGAAGCACAGCAGCGACTGAGACCTGGGCCCGGACAGCCACATGGGAGACTACAGTGGGGGACCGCAGTGGCCAGGGAGGGGGCACCCTCGGGGTTAAACCTTTGCACAACGTTACTTCTAGGGCAGCAGAGACCATCCACCATGGGTGGACGGGCATGGATTTCTTTTTTCCAGCACAGATTACATTTTTACACTTCTTTCAAAGGGAGAGTTCAAAGACTGCTTGAAACTTAATAAGCACACTGAAGTTTAAGCCTGAAGGGAGAATTAAGATTTCCTAAGTTGAGTTTTCTGAAGCAAGCAAAGCCCCCTGCAAATTCCTCAAACTTCTTTCTGAAGTTGTGACTAATATCTGCATCACCAGCAAGATAATTAAGAAATGTCCCTTGTGTGACACGTTAATCAGTGCTGGGCAGATTAGTCTGCAACTCAGTCCTGCAGAAAAGGCAAAGGGTCTTGAGCGAGAAGGCCGGGAGGGTCTGAACCTCACCCCCCAGCACCAAAACATGCCTCGCGCAGCGTTGCTGCCAAAGATGCCTCTTGGCAGCTGTCCTGCTGTCCTCTTCTCTTATTCACAGTCTAGGAACGCAACATCTCTAACAAACATGCACAAAGCCTCACTGTAAAAGTCAAACCCAATCAACAGTGGCTTAATGTGGGCAAAAGGGGTGACTGGCTTGGGGCTGTCCCGTCCTCAGGGTGACAGGGGAGCTTCTCCGCTGTCCTGCCCGTGTTCAGTGAGCCGGGCCAGGGGCTGCCTGGGTGCATGCAGAGCTCAGTGCTGATGTGCTCGTTTCGGGACCACATGCGGGGGGCGGGCAGGTCGGACATGCGGGCCCAATGACCTTGTTCAGCTTTGAGTAGTCAATGAGGTCAGGCCGGTGCCGGTGGATGAGCGCACAGAGTCCGAGGCCATCCTTCCAGCTGCGCCACGTCGGGAAGAACAGGACATGAGTTAGTGCAGAGAAAGCCACAGGGTCTGCACTGCTCAGATGGTGGCCTAAAATTCAGGCCACTCAGCCCCTGACTGCTTTCCGTCCAGCTCCACGCACAAACGGCCCCTGGACCTCCCTCCCTCCCCACCCGGTGGCCTTGTGCGCCTTCCTTGAACACCCGTCTTCTTCCTGGGGTCACCAAGGACTGCCACCCCCTTGATGTCCGCTTCCCATCTTCAACTTCAGGCCCCCCATGCCTGGGCCTCCTCCCAGTCACCCTCCCCCAGTCAGGTTCAGTGCTGGGAGTGCTGGCAGGGGCCAGAGGAAAGATGTCTCTTGGCAGCTGTCCTGCTGTCCTCTTCTACCACTGCCCCTCCAGTCCCGATTGCCCCCTCCCCCTCCAGTCTCCCTTCTGGACCCAGAGTCGGCCCACTCGCCCCACACAAGGATGCCAACTTCAAATGCCCAGCACACACGTGCCACTGAGAGTTCTCACACCCCTCAGGGCCACTCTTAGCTCCCAGGTAGCCACTGTCTTTCCTCACAACGAAATTTTTTTAAAAGGGCAAAGACATGTAGGTATGTAAAAGACTCAGCAGAGAGGATGTGGGTGTCAGTCTGCTTCCCTCAGACACCAGCACTACCCATTTCCAGCCATGGCAGGCCGGGGTGACCAGCGGGTCCCCTGACAGCTGGGGTGGGCATCTGACACTGGCCCCGGCCCCACCCTCCTCAGAGCGTGTGCAGGGCCACCTCTGCACCTCACGGTCCGCTCAGGGCCAGGTGCCTGGTAGACACTCTAACAGTGTTTGTGGGCCCAGAGGAACCTCCCCAAGTTTTCATGGGTCTCATGCTCATCCTCCATCTCTCTGATTCTCCGTTTCTTTTCAGGCTGACTGCCATGCAGAGGGTGAGAAACTAAACCACTCTCATGTAAGAGCCCAGAAGATCTGCCTGAGGAAAGAGATCAAAGCAAGGGATGAAATTGTGGTCCCAGACTGTGTCTGGATTTCCTTCATCCAGTTTTCTATAATTTTTCAAACACGATTCTCCTATTTCTCCTGAATCCCAGTGCACGAGGCTGATCTGAGGGAGATGGGAAGGGGCAGGGGGTGCCACAGGGACCTCAGGCTCTACTGCAGTCTCTCCTCCCACTAAGGAGCAATCCCTGCCACCATTTCCCAATGCCAGGTGAGCTCCAAGGGAGGCGGCTTCCTACACCTCACCTTCTGAAGACCCAGCCCAGTGCCACATAAAACTCACTTGTAACCTTGGAGCTGTCTCACCAGCAGCCCTCCCCTTAACCATGTCTTCCCTGAGAAACCATGAGAATGAAAAATCCGACAGCTGTGGTCCTGCTACAAACATAAAGGCCTCTCAGGCAGGAGGCAAAAACGTGAGTGTGAATGCACAGCATCCTGGCCATCGGGATCCCGGCGAGAAGGGGCGGCCCGGCGTGCTCACCTGGTGTGGAAGTTCTGAATGTTGACGTTTCTGTAAGGAGCGGTCTTCCTCTGGCACCACAGCAGCAGGCCTTCCTTGGCAGAGGTTTCTGGAACGACAGCCAAGAAAAGTGTCCACAGGGACACACTTACCACTTCCTTCGCACGACGTCTGCCACCTTGCCAGGGCCCACGCCTCCCACGTCTTCTCTTCTCCTAGCTTCCGCCAGAGGACGGGAGCTGGAGCCCTGCGCCTGGCGGCCAACTTCTGGTGACACTTAGGGACTCAAAAAGGACACTGCAGGTGCGACTGCAAGTTATGACATAATACACACGAAACTTACCTTTCATATGAAAATATGAAAATGTATACAGTTCATGACTTAACTGTCATTCGCCTCGTTTATAATTTACATTCTCAGGTAAATGAAATCCACAGAGGCCACTATGTCTAAAATGTATATACCCTTACCCAGAGATTTTATAATACTTAAAGATTTTCATTGGTAAATTTGAGTTTTAAGCAACTGGACGACCCACACCCAGCCCCGGGCACCAGGAAGCTGGGCCGGGGGATGCCTGCTGCCTGGGCGCAGACCGGCACTGCAGTCCCAGCCGCCCCACCCTGCCCTCCCAACACTGCCTCAGGCTGCTCCAGCCACAGACCAGCTAGAGATGGCACCCTCCTGCCGAGTGGGGGACTCCTCTAAGAGCAACGCAGGCTTAAGGGTGCCCCACTGGCCTGGGGATGGCACTGCAGAACAGGGCTCTCTGTTCCCAGCCTGCCTGCCCTTCTCCTGCACAGGGGTCAGCCAGGGGCTTTGGCCTGAAGGCTCTCTCTGCCATCATTTGCTCTCCCTCTTCATCCTCCACAGACACATCCCCAGCAACTCCCATGCGCTTCTGTGTGGATGGAATGTCCATGTCTCCCCAAACCCATGTTTTGGAGCCCTAACCCCCAGTGGGATGGTATCTGGAGACGAAGCCTCTGGGAGGCAACAGGGTTGGAGGAGGTCATGAGGGTGGGGCCCTCACGATGGGATTAGTGGCCTTTGAAGAAAAGAAACCAGAGTGCACGCATGCGCATGCTGGCTGGCTGTCTATGTGAGGACACAGCAGGAAGGCAGCCATCCACAGGCCTGTTGAGGGCCTTCAGCAGAAGCAGACTGGGCTGGCGCCTGATGTTGGACTTCAGCCTGCAGGGCTGCGAGAAGAGAAGTTTCTGTTGTGGAAGCCGTTCCGTGAAATACCGCCTCAGCCTTTGCCTCTAGGCACCCACAGCTACACACACCAAACAGCTCCTCAAAGCCATGCACAGAACCTACGATTCTACTCCTGGTTGAGTTCTACCAGTTTGGAGAAGCCTTGTGAACATATAGACTCTCTGGCCTTTCATTTGAGTAGGGGCTTCTAGTTGATTTTTCCAAATCAAAATAAGTATTCCATAATTTTTTATCTAAATTGTCTTTCTAGTTCAGATTTTTCTTTGACCCATAACCCAGTTGAAATAAACACACTCCCAAAGTTTCATGTGCTATAAGAATAATCTGAATGATTCATATTCATGTCTCTTGCCTAGCAAATTCTTGTTAAGGAAAAAGGTAAAGACTTTATTAATATATGAACTAGTACAGGTGTTGAAATATGAAACTCCATACTTAGATGTTTTGCTATATATAAGTGCCTGCTTTTGGGTTCTGCCCAATGTAATGAATAAGAAAAAGCACATCAGGGGGAAATAAAACTATATTTTTAGTTTAAATGAAAATTATGTTAGGAATAGACACAGATGTAACACAGATCCATAAAATCTTATTGCTGCTACTGAAGTTTAGACGCACAAGTCAGTGAGTTGCACCTAATTTCTTCCTGTCTGACAGCTCTAAACACTCTGAGGCTGTCAGCATGGAACAAAGTTCTCTCCCCGTTTAACTGGTGGCTCTAATCAAAGCTGACTCTCTCCTAAATCCATTTCCAGGCGTTCAGCAAGGTCAACAAATCTGTGCCAAGTCTGTCCCTGCCCATGAGACACCCAGCTGCCCGCAGGTGCAGGTGAAACCTGCAACATGGCCCCTTGGCGCACACATGTCCACACATGAAACCCTGACCGGGGTGTAAAAGCATGTGATAAATAGGTCATGTCACCTGTAATTCCGTCATGCATGTGACACACCGGGAACCCCCCGCACCTGCACCTGACTGCCCTCACCAGCAGAAACGTTTGCCTCGAGTTCGCCTCTGGGACAAGGCTCTCCGCCCCCTCTGGTAAAGGAGATGGCTCCTCAAAGAAATCAGCAGTAACGACATCTTTGTCCACATAATATGCATCAGTGAAACCAATGAAATGATTTTAATACAGACTTGCAGAAATTAAGTGAGGTTGTTAAGAAATGAGTTCATAAAGTAAAAAGAATAAAAACATAAATTAGGAAACTAACATCATCTACTGTGTTGGACACTGAGAGACATCCAATTCAAGAGGTTTAGGCACTTTGTTAATGAAATGATCACTTTTGAATGTTTCATTTCAGCAGCCTCTGAAAAGCAGATTAATATATCTGTATGTGGTGATCGCTCACAAAATACTGTGATTTTATTAATTATTAGTAATAATTTGGGGCAAACTCTCTAACAGATAATACCATTCAGAGCTACACCTGAAACAGAATTAAGTTTTCAAATCATATCACCACAATTTGAAATATGTAACCAATCAGAAAAAACCCGAGGTCAAGTTCACCTCTGTAAAAAAGGATCTGCTATTCTAGCAAAGGCAATAGTGTGAACAAGATTTTTTAAACTGGCATTTGTTCTTTAAAGTAGGTTCACCTGTTTAAGTGTTTAAATTTAGAAGTACATCAAATTTATAAAATTACTCTAAGTTACTCTTTTTTAACAAAGCAGGAACTTTTAAGAAGCATCTTTGTATTTTCATTAGCATGAAAGGAGTGTATTTAATAAATGTACATCGTCCGAAGTTTTCCAATTCCAAGTATTTATTAATTCTAGCTGGCTGAGACTGAATTAGGGAGGATTTAATAGCCTTACATCTTAGCTTTTCAGGTGATATAAGTGGAGTTTCAGTGCTGGCTGGGAATAATCTAAGTGCATCAGAAACTCTTTAAGGACATGTATTATAGGGTTCATGTCATCTGGTAAACAGTAGGCGGCAAATTGCTAATTTTCATTATTCATTGTTTGGTTAGTAACTAAAATCCCTTAAAAAGAGCAGTGTCAGAGGGTCCTCGGTTCGAGGCAGAATTACCAATGATGGCCCCACCGTCACCATCCAGGTACCTGGTTATCTGCTAGGTGACCAAGTCAGGGCAGGCTGACCGGACAATTCAAACCACCCTTAAATTTGTTTGGCTGTACGTTTTGGGACTTGAGACCTTAATAGGAAATATTCTAATTTTAAGAAGGTCAATTTCACCATTTTCAGCAGTGCTGAATTCATCAAAAATATTTAGGAGTACAGTGGACATAAGACTAAAGATTTCCACCTTTGGTTGTAGCACCAAGTACTGGGACTCTAGTATAAGGAAGGAAAGAAGGGGGGAGGAAGGAAGAATAATGAACAAACTTGGATTTCACCTAATCAATGTTTGCACCTGAAAATCAGTGTCTCAGCTGTAAATCTACAGAATTCTGTTCCACTTGTGAATGTACTAGTATAATAAGCAATAAAGACACTCAAAAAAGTGTTCATCTGAAAAAGCGACTTCTGTTCGGAACAGGTGCTCATCTCTTCCAAAGTGGCTCCGCCCCCAGGACTGAGACAGCAGGGCCAGGGTCCTCCCCACTCAAATGGAAAGTTGTGAGGAGCCAGTCTGCAGATCTTTCATTCAGTCACGGAAGTGACTGTTCAGTTTTATAAAACCACGTTCGAATTTTAATTTACAAGCTCAGTTTACACGTCGCTCTGTGTCTCTTAATACAGTCAGATTTTTACCTTCGACTGAGATGTCCTGAATAGCGAAGCGGAGGATGATGGTCCAGATCATGCCCAGGGTCATCTTCACGTTGCCGTCGACAATCTCTTTAGGGAGGAAAACCAACAGCAGGTTAATGTGAAGACACCATAAGCACTACACAATGCTTTCCTGTAAGTTAGGTTTCCCATAAGTTTTGACTTCAGAGCTACTGGAAAAAATATATATGGAAAGACAGTTTTATGTTTTCATAAGTGTCACAGTGTGTTCTAAACATGATATTCATAACCAAGTGTCTCCTGTTTAAATGAATTCTGAGTTAATAACAAGCACAAATCTTGCATATGCATAATCAGTGAAAACAACCCATGAGTTTCCCAAGTTTAAGGACTAGGTGAGCTACAGTTTGAAATGCAATCATATCCCCTCATCCTCAGGGGGTACATTCCAAGACCCCCAATGGATGCCTGACACCGAGGACAGCACTGAACCGTGTACATACTGTGTTTTTTCCTACACCCACACCTGCCCACGTAAAGGAAGCACGCAGGGTTTCTCTTCGGCATATCTGTATTGCCAGCCCCACTGCTCCCTGCTTTGGGGTCATGATTAAGAAATTATGGTGACTTGAACACAGGCCCTGGATATCGCCACAGTGGATCCAATATCCTCTGGGCTACTAAGTGATTAATGGGCAAGGAGCACATACAGCATGGAGCCAAGGGACAAAGGGGTGACTCACGTCCCAGGATGGAGTGGGACAGGCCAAGATCTGATTACACTACTCAGAGTGCTGCACAATTTAAAAACTTAGGTACTGCTTATTTCTGGAATTTTCCATTCACTATCTTTGGCCTATGATTGACTATGGATGACTGAAACCATGGAAAGCAAAAACAGCCGATATGGGGGGACCACTGTAATGAAATAAAGAGAACTCCGGCTCATCGCCACCCTGGTCCTTCTTCCAGCCCCAGCTGGCAGGTTCACAGGACGCTGTGTACAGGGGCAGGCAGGGACTCCCAGGGCCCCACAGAGAAGGAAGAAGACACATTCCTTCGCAGCCATGAGTTCTTTCTGAGAGCCGATGGGATGCATATGTTCTTTCTCACTCCTATAACAGGTTCGGAGTGGACAGCATTATAACAGACTGTTCTTTGCAAATAATCCTGGAGCCTGGCTGGCCATTCATGGCACCACCTGCTCTCATCTGTCTATGCTCACAGCCAGCAGGAACCTGACCCACCAGGACACCCTGGGGTCCACAGCCACAGTGGGGCCAGCCAGTATGGCATCAGGCCATTCCTGTCGCAGCTCACCTTCAGCCCCGATGGACACCAGCTTCACGCCTTTGCTGGCTATGTAATCCAAGGCTTTGTTGACATTGGCAATTTTGTGGAATCGCATTTTTCCTCGGTCAGGTTTGGGCAGCCTTTCCCCTGTCAGGTGAAAACAGATCAGTGTAGACAGAGAAAGTACTTGCCGTCCCCCAACCCTCACCTCCCGGGATGTGGAATCGAAATGTCAAAGTTCAGAGTCATGCTCTCCTCAACGAAAATGGGTACCTGTTTCTGATGTGCCCCTGGATTCTCAAAGTACAGAGAATTGGAACATTAACCAAAACTCCTGAGAGCAGACGGACCAGTGGGGAGCCATGCTACTAAGGCCATGTGCTTTTCAGATCTGCTGAGCGTCCAGCTGGGCCCATGAGCCCAATTACAACGGGGTTAGGAAGGATGCTGCTTGGTGTCCGGGAGCATTTGGGGTTGCTAACTAGCTGCCTGAGGAAGGCAGGGCAGCCTAGTTCAAGTCCCAGAGGTGGCTACCAGGGCTCCTCCCAGACACCTGATTCTGAAGATACATGGATCAGGCAGACTTGCCATCGCCCTTCCCAGTCACACCTTCACAAGGGCGATCCATTCTCTAGTCCAAAGTCTAAACCAGCCCGCTGAAATCCAGGGCAAAGCACAGCCCCCTAGTTATGCCAACACGTACACTGGGCTTCTGCTTGCCAGACAATTTCTGGGATACGCACGGGCTGGATGAAGGATGCAGAGGGCAGCATGGTGGGTTGTCACATAACTGTCATTTATTTCTTCTCCAATTTTGTTATAAGGTGGGTGATAGAAACACTAATATGCCAATGTTAAACAGAATACACTTCCTTTTTAAGCAGAAAAATAACTCCCAGCAGACTGCTCTTCAAGAGGCTTTCTTTTCCAATAACACCACGTGCTTGACCAGCGGGGGCAAGGGAACTCGTGAAGCAGCGTGTCTACCTAGAGGCCTGTCTGCTGCTCACATGCACGAGGGCAGGATGGGTATGGCACCGAAGCAACGCTTGCCACCAACCTGAGATGACTTCCAACAGCAGCATGAGCTTCAGGCCATTCCTGAAGTCCTCCTCGATGTTCTCGATCTGGGTGCCAGCTTTCCTGAGGTGGGAGTTACACCAGGCAGTGAACGTCTGTAAGAGAGTGCATGTGACTCAGCACGGCCCTCCGGGGTGAGCCCTCCATGGGGGCCACACACCATGTCTCCCACCTTCTGGAGCTTCTCGGGTCAGCAAACAGAATGTGATGGGAAGAATGTTGTGTGGCCCAAGGGTAAGGTTTTAGCAAAATTTCCCCTTTAGAGACAAAAACCTTTTATTTGGTATGCCAACCTGAGGGTTTTTTGCCTTCGGTTTGAAAAGGTACCACGTTTACACCCATGCCTTCGGAAAACTCTGTGTGTACAACAAAACCAAGCTTGCCTGCAAAATGGGTGCGTAAATAATGTATAAAGACCGTCTTACTTACATCAAATGTCTTACTGCAGAGCAGAGGGTGGGTGGTATTGTGTAGCAGAAAGGGGAAGAGAGGAGGGGCCCATCACCACTAATTATCCACGAGTTATCCTGCATAAACAACAGTCTTAAGCTAGTAACTAGTCAATTAAGAAAATCTGCAGTATCGTCAATCTTCAAAAAAACAATCGCAGTGGTGCTAATAACCTACTCCCGGCGCAGCCCTGGATTACAAAGACGGCCAGACACAGCGCTGCCCTGCAGGGGCTCCCGGCCTGGTCCTGCTAGCGAGTCTCCAGGCGACCTTCAGAGGAGAGACAGGCTGCACGTGAAGTGGCACCCAAAGGCATTCTGTTTATTTTTTCAAGGTCTTTGAACTTGGCTTCCACTTGTGCACAATTTCCTGCCAAAACCAGATTAGAAACACTCCCAGCAGCTGCTGGCTCAGAATGTGAACTGTCCCCAGTCTTTCAACAGCTGCTGGGCTCAAGAACAAAGTGCCCGCGTGTCACGCCGGGCGGACACACACAAATAAGCTGCGTTACACACGGGAAAGGGAACCTCTCAAAAACAGACTGCTCCAAGGAAGATTACAAACTGACAGTTTCCATAAAAATGATTTTCCTGGGTAATAAAGAGTATTTTCAAATTTGACTAATAGTCACTTATCGTAAGAAATATGTGATGGTGCACCGTTGGTGGGACTGCAGACTGGTACAACCACTATGAAAAACAGTATGGAACTTCCTCAGAAAACTAAAAATGGATCTGCCTTTTGACCCAGCAATTCCACTGCTGGGACTATATCCTAAGAACACTAAAACACCAATCCAAAAGAACCTATGCACCCCAATGTTCATAGCAGCACAATTTGCAATGGCCAAGTGTTGGAAGCAACTTAGGTGCCCATCAGTAAATGAATGGATCAAAAAACTGTGGTGCATCTACATGATGGAATACTATGCAGTAGAAAGAAAGAAGGAGCTCCTACCCTTTGCGACAGCATGGATGGAACTGGAAAGCATTATGCTAAGCAAAATAAGCCAGGCAGTGAAAGACAAATACCATATGATCTCACCTTTAACAGGCACCTAATCAACAAAACAAAAAAGCAAGCAAAATATAGTCAAAGACACTGAAATAGAGGACAGGCTGACAGAGACCAGAGGGGAGAGGGGAGGGAATTTCAGGGGAGAATGGGAAGGGTTTACAGGAACAAATATAAAGGACACATGGACAAAAACTAGGGCGGGGGGGGGGGGGGAATGGGAGGGAGGTGGGGAAGGATGGGTGGGTGGGCTGGAATGGGAGTAAAGGACAGAAAACTGCACTTGAACAATGATTAAAATAAAATTTAAAAAAGAAAAGAAATTCTAGAATTTCTTAAATTCTAGAGCAAAAAGAAAATATAGACACTTTCTTGGATTTGCAACAACAAATTTTCCCGACAACCCAAACTAGTAATTACTTTTCCTAGAACTCGTGTAAATTTTAGTCAAGTCTAAATGGAAGAGGCACTCTAGGCCATATAGTCTAGTTCTGTGCCCAACCCATGCGGAAGGCACTTTTCACAGGTAGCTATGGAAATGTAAATTGAGTGGAAATTAACATTTTAGCTCCTTGGCTGCACAAGCCATCTTCTCAGAGCTTGAAGGCCACACGTGGCTCATGGCTGCTGTGTCAGATGCTGTAGACGCAGACCCCTCCCAGCATCACGAGAAGTTCCAATCGACAGAACTACCCTACATAAACAAACTCTGTTTTATAAAGCTAAGATTATTACAGGAGTCTATAATTTAATTATATAAATATGAATTCTTCGTATCTGCCTTTTGAATAGGTAATACACTCCCTTAGTTCCAAATTCAAGTGGTATGAAAGGCTCCAAAGGGGAAGCCTCCCAGTGACCTTGCCCAGAGGATAGGATTCATCAACGCAGGCATACGCCTCTCCTTCAGCCCTTCAACACGGGGCCTGGAACCCACACGGCTCTGCACCTGGCTTTCTTATTCACTTAAAAAATTTAACCTAGGGAGCATTCTGTATCAGTAGAATCACTTCTTTCTACAGCAGAAGAATATTCCACTGTGGTATATATACCATCCTTCATGTAACTTCACGTAACTAGCTCCCTACAGATGGATGTTGAGGTTGTTTCCAGATAACTAGGTTTTTCTACTAAGAAAACTTTGCAGGCCCCATACACTGCAAGCAAAACTCTTTAAAAGGTGGTGTTTCTTAACTAGCAATGTCATGACTAATCATATGCCTAACTTTCAGGAAAGGCACAAGAGAATAGCAGGTTATGATTTTTTTAAATGGAATTGATAGAAAGTATGATATAAAATATTTAGATAGTTGTTTCTACTTAGAGTCTACTTAGAATGGGCAAATATTGCTGGTGTAAATGACCTTAGCCTGTTACCATGCTAAGGCCCTTCATGATGAAAGTATCAGAAGCACTTTTGGATGTAACCCCAACCCGCTCATGAAATCAGTACAAGCTTCCTCACCCTACTCTGGAATCCTACAAAGTCTGTCTGTTGCTACCTTCCTATAGGTATACATACCATAGATGTAAATTACCATAAGTAATTTTCAGGTGTGCAAATCCAGAAAACAGATTTAATCATAAAGTCGATTTTTGAGTTAAGTCTAATAAAATGCCCCATCTTTTTTTTAACAATTTTTCATTTTTCAATTATATTTGACATACAATATTTTATTAGTTTCAGACGTACAACACAGTGATTAGACATTTACATAACTCACAAAGCGATCACTGCAATAAATCTAGTACCCATCTGACACCATACAAAGTTATTATAATAGTATTGATGATATTCCCTATGCTGTACTTTACATCCTCATGACTATTTTTGTAATCACCAATTTGCACATCTTAATCCCTTCCCCTCTTGTCACCCTTCCCACTATCCCCCTCCTGTGCAGCCATTAGTTTGTTCCCTGCATCTATGAGTTCAATTTGGTTATTCATTTATCTTGTGTTTTAGATTCCATAGATAAGTGAAATCGTATAGCATTTGTCTTTGTCTGACTTATTTCACTCAACACAATACCCTTTAGGTTCATCCATGTTGTTGCAGGTGGCAAGATTTCGTTGTTGTTGTTTTTTTTTCTTATCCTCCCCTGAGGACACATTTTCATTGATTTCAGAGAGAGAGAAACACTGATGTGAGAGAGAAACATCAATTGGCTGCCTCCCATAAGCGCCTGAACCAGGACTTGAACCCACAACCTAGGCATGCGCCGTGACCAGGAATCGAACCAGGAACCTTTTGGTGCACAAAATGACGCTCCAACCATATGAGCCAAGCAGCCAACCCAAGATTTTCTTCCTTTTTATGGCTGAGTTTTATTGCATTATATGTATGTATATCAATTCATCTTTATCATTCATGTATTGATAGGCGCTTAAGTTGCTTCCATATCTTGGCAATTGTAAACAATGCTGCCATGAACACAGGGGTGCTTGTACGCTTTCAAATTAGTGTTTTGGGTTTCTTCAGATAAATACCCAGAAGTGGAATTGCTGGGTCTTTCTTTGTCTCTTGTCATAGCTTTTGTTTTAAAGTCTATTTTGTCTGGTACAAGTATCACTACCCCAGCATGTTTCTTGTTGCAGTTTTCATGAAATGCCTTTTTCCATCCCTTTACTTTCGTTTAGTCTGTGTCTTTCCATCTGAAGTAAGTCTTGTAGGCAGCAGGTGTAGGGGCCCTATCTTCACATCATTCAGCCACCCTCTGTCTTTGGATTGGAGCATTTAATCCATTTGCATTTAAAGAATTGTTGATATGTAGTTATTGTCACTTTATTATTCATATTTTTTAATCTTTTTTCCTTCTTACTTTAAAGAAGTCCCTTTAACATTTCTTATAATATGGCTTTGATGGTTATAAGCACCAGCAGCTGATTCTTCTCTGGGAAGCCTGGCATGGGGCTGGGACCACTCGCTCCTCGGAGGCACCTCTGCAGGTGACATATGCCTCCTGATTTTTAACTGCTACACGTGGGTGTGGGACCAGCCCGTTCCACATCTCCACCCCTCTTACCAGTCTGGATGTCCTTTCTTCTGTAAATCTTTAGTTGTGGGGCTTCTGTTCAAAGAGACCTCAGGTGGTTCTTAATGAGGGTGTTCTGCAGTGTAGCTGTGATTCTGACTCTGGGAGGATTCAAGAACGGCATTTACCTGGACTGCCATCTGCACTGGAAGCGAGTGTCCCCGTCTTTAATGACCATCCCCCAGAGCCAATCAGGGGACCCCTAAACAACTTAAATGTGAAAGGGATCCCTGCTCGGTGATAACAGCTTACAAAGAGGCCAGTGCACTCTGAAAAGGCACTTCAAGCCAGGTACCAAATGTTTCATCTCATTCTATTCACAGTTTAAATTCCCACAGCTTATGGAGACCGTTCCTAGCATTTCCCATTGTCCAGGGTTTCCATGAAAAGCCCAAATGTGTGGAGGGTTTACCAGCAAAGCCACAGCACAGCAACCAAACCCCACCCGTTTTACTTGAAGGCGTCTTGGTGGATTTTCTTGCTGACTGACAGGCATCTCTAAAGCCTGTGGGAACTAAATCTTGGAGGGCTAGGATGGAATGAAGTGTGGCCCAAGCTCCTTGGTTCAACCCAGATTACCAAGGGCTGTCCCTTCC